TGTTGGTCATCGGGGTTATTTTGCCATATTTGACCACGCTCGTCAGTGGAGGTTGGTGCAGACGTTAATCAGGACCGGTTCTTAGATCGCTCGCCACTGATGAGAGCCGTGGCCGGGAATTGAATTAAGGTCGCCAGGTTAATAGCGCGGTGGGCTAACCACTCTGCCAGTGCTCCACCCCAAACAATAAATAATTAACAAGAGGATCCCTGTCTCCATGTAAAATGTATTTTTCTATCAACCCACGGACCTTTGGGACTACTCTCTCCAGCATAACTACAAATGGGATCCTTAACATCAAGGTGGCCCAGTGGCTCATAGATTCTGAGCCGGCACTGCTGAGAGCCCGAGTTCATACCTGGGTTTCAACCAGAGGTCGCAACCAGGTACCCGATACCCGATACCCGTACCCGATACCCGGTTACCCGTACCCGGCCGGGTACGGGTACCCATTTGCGACCCTGGATGCGGCCGGGTACGGGTACGGGTAAGGAATCAAAACCCGTTTGCGACCTCTGGTTTCAACCGCTCGTGGTTAAACCAGGTTCAAGTGTAGCCAGTTAATAATTAAAGCACCATCATACATGGTTCGTGAATAACTAAGTAGGGTGTTGTACAAGGAGAAGCCAAATTAACAAAGAAAGAAGATAGCTGAGAGAAGCATAACAAAGGGCAAGTAAATGTCTCCGAATAACGAACAACACTGCTCTCAGCCGCGTTACCTACGGCTGCCCAAAATAACCGTTACAATAAATTAAGTTTTCACTTACTTGGGCCAATTCGAGCTCCGATATAACAAATAATAGCCGATTAATCAACACTCGACGGACACACCGTCCGGGGCATACATAGTGTGAATAAAAAAAGTCTACGAAAGTAACCCGAGGACTAGTTCTGCGACATCCTCTTCAGCAGGGGAGCGTTCTCCGCTGCTCGAGCTCCGAACGGAAAATTCCTCACCCATTTGACGTGTTGTCGAGCGCGGGATAAGTAATTAAAAGAGAAAAAAAAAGCATAAAAATAAATCATCCTGCCACTTGCAGAGACCTTGAAGGAGCCCCAGGACTTCCAAGACAGACGTGCGTAATTCCTGTATCCGCCGCACACCTATTAGTCGTGCAAAGGGGGTGTTAATTAAATGCGGATATCAGCTAAGGCCTCAGAAGACCACTGTGAATTATAACTAATTTAAACGCCTCCCCACCGCCACAAACTAAATAGGTGATTACGATTCCTGTCCGGCCGCAATGAGTCTTTCACAGCTAGCAGTGCACCTCTTTGTGTGATGGAATGAACTGCACAGCGTGGGAAGCCTTCATCAAGCATGCGAATGGACAGACAAAAGTGCTGCCAATTTAAGTTAAAAGCGTGTCTTTGAAATATACTCGAAAGCAAACCGGGTGCCAATTTGACGGTGGTAAAGGCGCAACCCTGAAATTTCTAGGGTCACGTCACTGCTGCCCAAAGGGCCTAGACAAAGTTTTAGACAGCTCCCCTCTAAATAATCTTTGGCCTACTCTTCCACGTTGGCCAAATGTCTGGGAGTAGGTGGGAGTGCCCACACTTTACCCCACCACGCGCGACCCACCAATCGACTGTGGTGCAACAGGCGCGCCGGGAGATGGAACCAGTGATCTCCGGTTTGCTGATCGACTAACTAGCTGCCAATTTAATGAAATTAACAAAAAAATAGAAGCAGTCCTTTGTCACCTGTTTGGCCACAGTCACAATCATACCTGCGTGCGAAGTGGGGGGTTGGTGGGGATAAAAGGGGGATTTGCCTTGCCCCCCCACCCCCCACTACGGAAACACATCGCCCGCTCCCCCCCCCCACCGAAATTGCAGCCTCCACGGCAAATTGTCTCCAACGCTTCTTGCCAAGTGTAGTGTCGGGGGGAATTCTCATTATGTTGACGAGTCACCTGCCAGCGCTAGCATTTGCGGCTATTGACCGGCAAAAGTCTCCTCCACGGGCGCCGTCTCTCTCCGCTGTGGAACAGATGGCCGCTGCTCCCCCCGCTGCCGCCGCCAGTATGGTGGGCCGTCTAACGAGCCGCAAGTGACCGACGCTACCCCGGGGAGAGCCGTCCCCCCCCTGCTCTCATTCACAGGCGGGACATCAACGACTTCATCTAGCCAAGTCTTTCTTTTCTTTCGTATTTACATATGTACGAACTTCTTTTGCACCGTATGTAGTCAACCGTGCTGATCAGAGGTGCGACAACTACAATTTCACATTGAGGTGGTCAACTCGGATAACCGAGTCAGGAGCAGTGGAGTATCGCTGTGATGTTTTTCTTCATATTTGTGGATCGGGCCATTGCGTCGTTATTCGTTGTATGATCTGTTCTGGTTGGCCAGAGTCGCACACTGGAGAGTTTTTCGTTTTCCATTTGTGTGGAAGCGGTTTAGGGTGGACCATCGAGCTAAATAATGGCTGCTCAAAAGCCCAAGTGGAATTCCTGCCTCAAATGAGCATCGACGCAGTGCTCAGATTCCACATTCTTATAGCAGGGGGGACGAGTTTATCCATAAGACAATCGGTGTTGACTTGCTCACAAAGTGGTAGTTGTTTTATCGACCCCCCCCCCCCCCACCCAAGGATGATGGGCTGAATTAATCGCCCCCAAACTGAATGTGAGCTCGCAACCTTCCAATTGCGAGCCGCTCGCTCAACCGCTGAGCCAGTGCTCGTTACGAGTACGCGCCACGTCGGCGAGATAGTGATAATCGAAAATCCTGACGACCCACAGAATATCTCCACTGGTCCACAGAGAGTAGAATTTGCTGAGGGAAGGCGGATGAAGAGAAATGTTAAGTGCACGTCATGGTCATCCGTGGGGAAAGGATGAACGTGGATAGTCACGAGCATCAATGAAGCCAAGGTCAAACAAAACATGCGGATCTAGTTTTTCAAAAACACCCCATCAACGATCTTTCTTATCGTGGGATAAAGGATGCTCTCATCGAAGATCCTTTAGATTCATTGAGCGGTTCATTGATGAAAGATGCGATGCAAGTGCGATTTCTTACTATTATTCACACCTCATTCGTGGGCTAAATTATACGTTACTATGGGCAGGAACCATGGACGACGCACCGATAACTTCCCACGTCATCCGTCCCGACTCGTGACGAAGAATTGGAATGCTGCAACCAACCATTCCAGGGGAGAGGGAGGCCACGCCGCCCCCCCCCCACCGCTTCACTCATCTCCCACCCACCACCCCTACCCCCAGATCCCTTCCCCAGCGCCATCCGTTTGGTAATGCATACGTCACATATTCGACTCGTTACTGGGCACCGAGGTACAGGCGGGGGATGTGAAAAGATCGGTACGTGTGAACATCTATATAGAAACCAAAAAAATCCAGTGACAACGTACACAAACAAGTTGCTGGACAAACTTGAAGCTTTATACAGCACGCGGAAAACGCTCGTCCACACTCGGGAAGTGAGCAAATAAAACGAGAGCGAGATTAACGAGGCATCGCTGCGTGTGAAAAGGTCAGTTTTGTGATCATCTTGTAGTGGCGGGGTCACCGCATGCAAATACCGCACTGGAGTACGGGCGGTTCATCGGTCAGGATGGATACGCGACGTTCTACCGTGCTACGTAACAACAACAAAAACCCTCCCAGCCCCCTGCACGTGTTTTTTTTTTATATTATTAACACATTGGGGAAAACTCATTTAACACGGAGAGAAATCAGTTGAGAAAAGGTCACAAATGCACAAAACAACTGAAGGGGGAATTGCATGGCGAGGGGGGAAAAAAAAAAAGGAAAAACAATCAAGTGGATAAATAATAGCTGTTTACGAAAATGTCACGGCAGTCGTGCCCGTGCCATAACTCAACGTTCGCTGCTGCGGTTTCTAAACGAGCATCATTTCCTACCGGAAGGTTCCGGGAATGGGGGGGGGGAACGTGGGTCGGGGCCATTATTGACACGGATCCACGGAGGGAGGGAGGGTGGCAGGAAGTGCGTTATGTCGATGCATCATCACACAAGCCGATGTCAACAACAACGCACTCTCTCGATAATGCCGGTCCGCTCTCTGCAGAGCTGGAAGGATGTGTCGATTCAGATGTAATGTCGGTATAGGCGCAGCCCTGCAACTGCTTCGTCACGCCGCTGCTGGTTCCTGACCCCGCGAGGGCAGAGCGTGGAGGTCGTCGAGTGTCTACTGCGCGCGTAGCAGTTGCAGGAGATACCGGTGGGGAAACAACAGCGGTGCCCCAATGACACAAGACTAGGTGTGTCAGAAGAATAAGATGACCATTTTTTGTCATCTCACTTGGATTTTATAAATGGAAATGAGAGGAGGAGGTCAACAAAAATCATTTCTGACCAAGGCCCCCGAGTGGGCAAGCGCCACCGCAAGCGACGACAACAATACGAGTCTGATTTCACGTTAGCGGTCTCCGGTGGCTATTTGACGCTTACGAACTTGGCACGACCAAGCGAGTTGGCGAGGATTTTTATTTCCCCCCCAATTCATTCCCTACTCTCGTTTTATTTTTTGTATTTTATCGTCACCGTGGATGTAGTCCACAATCAACCCGTCTGGATCTCACTAGCCTTCCTTTTATTTACACATCATAAAATAATAATAAAAAAATTATCTTTTATCCGTTAATTTAAAAAAATATCTTGTTCGCACTTCAAGCCTACTGGAGCGACAGCTTCGAGAGTGGCGACAGCTGCGTGAAATTTCACTCTTCTATTTTTTCCCAATCTTCCTTTTCACCAACCCTGACTTCCTGCTTGTATTGTTTCCCAGATCACAGCTGGAGGGTACCCACGATTAAACCCGGTCGCTTGGATGCCATGTGCCCTGGACCCTCCGCTTTCTGAATTTGTTGTCGTCGAATGTACTTTTTTTGTTTGTTAACGAGGGCACACGGCACCTCATCCGAGCGAGGATGGCGAGGGGTCACGACCTCTCGGGGGGGGGGGGGGGGGGGGTGGGCGAGTGAGTGAGTGCAACCTCTGTACCTGGACAAGACATTCGGCATGAAACCCCATCTCGCGCGCTACGACCATCATCGCGGTCCGCTCCGCGGCCGTGAACAGGGACACGGGGAAGGTCATCTCCCTGCATCCCTCATCGTCCCTCAGCTCCCTGGCAGGATTTGAGATTGTGAGGATAGGGGGGTGGGGGAAGATGGGGGGGAGGGGGGGTGAAGGAGAAATTTGCTTGAATGGATGATCATCATGCACAGGAGGTTGTTATAGGCTGCAAGAATATGTGACAGCCAGCAAGAGGGCTTACCACACCACATAGCCCCACTTCTACATTCATCAGCATCACCAACCGACGCCGACCAGAATGATTAAGAGGATGCCACTCAATACGCAAAATGTAAAAGTGAAGTTTCAGTCTTCTTGGATTGCACCCTCCTCTCAATTTGTTACCTTTCTTGTAAAACTAAACGTCATGAGAATTATTTAATGTTTTATTTTTATTATTTTATTATTTCCCTTCTACGTGACTTTACCGAAAGAACCAATAAGATGAATCCCTGCAGTCACGAAAGCTTTAAATCAAAAAATTTCTTGTAAAAGTCAACTGTTGATAATGTAATTCTACTCTGTTCATACTTACAGGCTGGCTAAGGACCTCCTTCTCTTCTCTGCATCGACACCTATACTGTAACTAAGTTCATCGACTGCAATGTATTACAACTCCGTAGAGAAAGCATCAGGCGCGATTTGCGAGAATTGTGAAGAAGTCTTCCTGTTCGGTCTTAAATAGAGTAACGGTGATGTCATCACTGTGAGCCTATCAGGTGCGAAAACCAAAGGGGGGGTTAATGTAGTCATATAAATCACAATGGATTATGTTAACCTGATCATATGTATTAGCTATTATCGCTTGGGTTAGCCACAGTTAATCAACATACAGTGGAACGTTTTTTGTGTTGTTTAGTTTGTTGTCCTTCCCCACATCTCCGATGAACAAGGTTGGCTACGTACGGTGCAAAAGAAGTTCAACATACATACATTATGATAGACTCAGTGATGACATCACCTTTACTCTATTTAAGACCGAAACAGGAAGACTTCTTCACAAGCCTGATGACGCTGGTTGTAATTAATCACCAGCGAAACGTCATAACTCAAATTGTAAATGTTGTGGGTTTACTCTCCAACACACTGGTGCGGGTGTGCTGAAGTAGTCACTAATTGTCACGTTTTGTTCACGTGACAAACCTCACTAATCGGCCGTGTCAGATGGTGGCGGGTTTAACGACACAATTACATTTATGCGATCTAACCCAAAAAAAAAAACCAACATGGAAAATATTGCTCACCAAAGCCTACTGCATGTTAAACCGAATGCAATGTAACTCTACGGGCAATGTAAGTGTATGGAAAATGTAACACTATGGACAATGTAAGTCTATGGACAATGTAAGTGTATGGGCAATCCATATGCCCGTTGGCACGGTGGAGAACGCGTCAGGCGGCGGAGTCGTGACAGGGCCCCTCGACGCCAAATCTGCAAAGTCCTTTTTGCGCTGCACCCTATTTACAACTTACCAGCAAGCTCGCATACGTCATCGGCACACACAATCCTCCAATGCCCTCCGTGCCCAGTGTAGCGTTAATGCACCGTGGCTAGAATTAAAGATGGAACTTCACAGCATCGGTACGGGGGGAGGAGTGGCAATGGAGGTGGGGGGGGAGGGCTCGTACAAGACTTACTTGAGCGTGGAAACGAACGTTTCCTTGCCCTGTTCGCCCAAGACGTCGCTGGCACGCGCCGCTTCAATGTCAAGAATTGACGTCATGGCGGGAAGAGAAAAGGGAAGCGATAGTGACGAAATGGTCCTCAATAGAAATTCGATAGACATTCACAATAGCACGCGATTAACCTTCGCGACGCACGAGGTGCACGTGGCGTCAACGAATATAATTTCATATAATGACAAAAATTGCTTTAGAGGACGTGGGTAAGTGTTGGCATACAATTACTGCTGCATCCTGCATCCTCGCTGTTGCCGCCGCCGGTGCGTTTAAATATCCTCCGGCACATCTGCCGTTCCCACCTGTTGAACTCTTGCCATTTCCTACGGAGACAGATCAAACAAATGCACCTCTCCCCCTCTCTCTCCTTGCACAACACCGGCCGACTCGTGCAGAATTAGAAACGGGCCACAAACACGGACGCATGACTCGGCCGACGTTTCGTAACGTAGGAAGAAGCCAGGTGCACAGTCTTGCGTCCGGCCCCTTCGTGGCAGTGCCCGGTCGGCTGCCCCGGTCGACGTACGGCCATCCCCCTTTTAAGCGCCGGTGTCAATCGCCGAACCCTTTGGTCAACCAAATAATAAACGCGGTGGTCGTATCCTACCAACTGCCGTGGTGGCACTGTGGTTCTATCCAAACTTCAACACCACCACCATCGCCCACAACCGATCGCATCGCCCCCACCTCCCCTGGTGGTTGTTCCCTCGGGCGCGTTCCGTCCTTCGGCTGCCGGTTACGTCACCAGTCTTACCATGTGAAACTTTGGGATTATATTAAACACATTCCTGCGGAGGGAGCTGGTAGGAACGTTGGGTTGCTCGGTCAATGGCCAGGGTCAACGGCGGCGTGGTGTATTCCGCAAACATGCCCGACTGTGTGAGGGCGGGCACAAGCCGGCGTGAGTAGGTTAAACATTGAGTTTCATAAGGGCACCACGGGGTGACCAGCCCCTCCCCACCCAGCCCCACCCCTCCTACCCCCCACCCAGCTCCACCCTCCCCATCCAGCTCCTCCCCACCCTCCCCACCCAGCCCCTCCCCACCCAGCCCCACCCTCCCCACCCAGCCCCTCCCCACCCAGCCCCTCCCCACTCTCCCCTCCCCACCCAGCCCCTCCCCACCCTCCCCACCCAGCCACACCCCTCCCATTTTTGGATGCACGACGGACGGACAGACACAATAATCCCCTGTGGGCTGGTGAAACCAGGTGGTTCCTACCAGTATTACTTCTCAACACATGCTCACGAACACCGGACTTCCAGACAGTGCCAAGGGAAAGCGAGCTGGCGCACTGCACCTATAATCGACACGCTGCTTGAACCCCGTCACAAAGTCCGACGACGCATTCTAGGTCACGGCTCAGCTCAGGCTTTGGCTCCTGCCCAAGCGAGCCAGCTCTAATTCCCAGCCATGCTCAGGATTACCCACGAGCCGCGCCCGAGCCAAGCTACGTCTGAGACCCTCACTCGAGCGTCCTTGAAAAGCAGCCGAGCGGGCTCAAGCCTGAGCTGAGCCGTGTTAAAGAGGCTAAGTCAGAGTCGAGGCGCGACAAAGAAAACGGCGCTTAACGAGTTCCTCAGCGGTCAACACGGATCCGCCCGCGTTTTTGCTCCCCCCCCCCCCCCGACGAGACTCAGTAACGCGATCGCAGTCCGATAGTGCTCAATAGCATGCCGACGTATTTAAAGTCACGACTCACTCGACCTCGGATTACGCCGCCGTTATATTAGGGGCGCTATCAGATAACGGGCACGGCGAGCGCAGTCGTATTTTCTCGCGTGTCCTTATTGACAAATGCTTTGCCTTCCAGCGGACTTAGAAGATTACGGCAAGGTTCCGCTGGCAGTATTGATGTGATAACAATATCAGCCACCTTTCACTCTGATGTAGGGCCCTACGACAATTGCTTCCGCCCGCCACTGCAGATGCAACAAGGACCTCCATGGGAGGAAATTCTGGACAGCTACCTCATAAGAGGGGTTACTCGACTGTGGTGTACTTGTTCGTACTGCGCTGGGTAGATAGTGGGGGGGGTAACTTAATAAGCTTGCCCATTGTTTTAACCGCCACGCCGGGAGATCAAACCGAACCAGCAACCTCTGCACCGCAAGTCCAACGCCCTCTTGCAGTGGAGGCCCTTCTGCCAGAAAGTGCCGAGAAAGCAAATGAAGCGCTGCACCTTCACCTTTAATATCCAAGTCTCCCTTATCCGTTACAAAAAGCGAAACATGCTGTTGTCTCAACTGGCTCTGAAGCCATTGTAAATAAGAGCCCAATCATTCAGCCACCAACCCCCTCCCTCGGGCAGTCGCATTGCCTCCGCGTGCCAAATATTGACAAATTACTGCACTGCTCAGTTGGCTTGATAATGTCAAGGGCTTCTCTTACAGATCCAACAATACGATAGGGACACTGACAGGTTCCTTAGGAGTCGACCGGCGAGTATATTTGACCTGCGATCGCATTGACTAAGAGGCAGTGGAGCGAGGCAGCCAGGGCCCACGATGCCGATTCACCGGGGGCTTTGATCTCACAAACAGGCACGGCGAGGCCTCGCGCGAATAACGAATCGTTCCGCCACCCACTGCGCCGAGGGAAGAATGCTCAAATTCGCAATCTTCCTACGCGAGAGCGACCGCAGTCACTTCGTTAAGGCCATTTGTAAAATCGGCAGGCGGGCGTCATTTATGTACGGATGCGAAATAAATGGGACCTTGGTTGGTCTCTCCTCGTTAACCGCTTCCTCACGCCACTTCCGGCGGAGGTAACTCCGCACGAGAGGGAGCGCAAGAGAGACCCCTCCCCCAATCTGCAGGGTTATCTTGGCCTACTCTTCCACATTGGCCAGACCGTCTTGGACCTTGTGAAGAGGCGGGCGTAACCACCCTTTACCCCACCGCCACACGCGACCTGCCGACTGACTAACCGTGGTGTGCACGTGTAAACTCCGTGGAATTTAAGAAACTTGATAATTGTTTCAATTGCCGCACAATCTGTTCCAAGTCTAAGCACATACAAATCAAATATTTTTAGTCCATCACGACTATTGGCCTTCAACACCAATCATTATCCAGCAGTGTTTGATACGAGAAATTTCTTTAGCTCATGAAGTGAAAAAAATATTTTTCTTAAATGCAGAGAAACTGAGGTCTATTTATTTAATTACCCAAAATTCTCCACAACAGATCTGTATCAAATTAATATTACATACTCTTTGGTTCTTTTGGTAAAGTCACGTAGGTAAAAAGATACAATAAATATTTTTTATATATTTTATAATATCTGATAGGGTATATTGATCTGTATCATTATACCCAATCAGATATTTGCGCGGTACGAATCGATGATATTCAATCTTCGCTGACCAAATCAGCCAGAATGCACCAGACCACAAAAGCTAAGCCTAAACGGTCGCTTGAATTGGGGGGTGGGTGACCACGTGTTACGAGTGTTACAGGCTGATACAGGGGCTGTGCGGCAAAATCTACGGGGTTTGTTTTTCAATCTGCTAGATCGAGGGCTGGAACCGATATCTAATCTGTGAGACGAGGGGGGAAACCGTGCAAACCAGTTTACCAAAGATAAATTAAACTCGCATATCATGTCAGTCCACGAGCACACAGCTCACTACCGTGGCTTCACATCACGAGTGCCACAGCAACAAAAGCTAATGAACCTCAAATCTTTTGGCTTCTCATAACATTTCATTTCACAGGTGTTCATTGAAATTCCCGTAATCATTCGTCCCCTCCCCCCTCTCTATAGCCCTCGAATACGTTTGATGAATTGTAAAGATTCAGAGCTGCGATTTTCTTTGAGAATACAATAATTTTTGTCTTTGTTTACTCACCAGCTCGTCATTTGCGCTTTTTATATTTTCACAAATCTGGAAACTGCCTGACGACCGCTGGTTGTAACTTGCATTGAAACGTCCGCACCAAATCGTTTGTTTTGTGGATCGCTGAAGCCGTCATAAACTGGCACGTTTGTTCACGTGACAACTTTATTAACTGTCTGTGACGGCTGGAGGAGGGTGAACGACACACATTTTTACTTTCGCAAACATACTCCAAAAAAAAGCTATTATTAATCATAACTCTGTCTGTTTGCACAGTTTAAATAATGCTAATTTTAAATGCGCACAATATTTCACAAACATAAATGACCGTGACTCTTGAGGCGCGGAATGAACCGTGAACCGTTTCTCATTACTCCAATTAGCATACAATTTGCATTAATCATTCATATCAATAATTGTATGAATCACGAGAGGACACATACAGGTTAATGACATCATCCAAACTATCAAGACAATTGGGCTTGAGCAGGGCACGTCGCTCAGATGATGGATGATGGCCAAGAATAATAAACGGCAGGTAGCCACGTCCGCCAAGTTTACGTCTCGCGAGGAGATGGAGCCATGAAATCAGTTTGTGTGAAGGCGCCGGGTTGCACTGCAAGACCTTTAAGAGGTGGCTGGTGGTGGCTTGGAGGCCTTCAACAAGCAGTGGACTGACCGTGGCTGAAGATGAATTATAATCGATTGATTCCTAAACGCACAATTTGATTGTTTGCATCGATCGTGAGCCCAACAATCGATATTAATCAATGAATCAGAGCGCTGTTACACGCTTACCCACTTGCAACACTGTGCCGAAGCAGCCTTGCTCATTACCGCCGTAGCGCCACAAATGAGAATGCCTCACTGTCAAGATTTCACAAGCATCCTAAATATCATACATGGGAGTGTCATTTTTAAAGGCGATTATCTCTAGATTCAGAAACTGTCGCTGATTTAGAGATCAAGTCAGTGGTTTGACACAAACACACAACTGAACACAACAACAACATCACCACCAACCCAGCGAGGATGAAAACGTAATTTTGTCCGAGTACGTCCAACAACACGGTAATTTGAGAATTTCTCCCTTATTCAAGGTGGACATTATTAATATCCGAATCTCAACCCTAATTGGTTGCCATACTATACACAAGTAAAAATGCCATCACGATTATACTGATTACCCACATTTTTCTTTAAATGCACGTCCAAAATTGTGTAAATGCACTTTGCAGAATGGCACAGGGCTGTGTGCACGTGGTGATCAGCTGAACGGCATGGACGAGTTTCCACAGCGCATTAAAACTGTGACTGCCCTGGCACATTCGACAACCTGGGTTCAAGCTTGTGTTTGAGACATCTTTGTATAAAGCAGGACTATTAATTAAGTTTCAAAAAAATGTTTCCTTCGTCTGAACCATGTCAAACTATCCCCATGACTGAAACAGCATAAGGAGGGGGCATTCATCCAGCAGTGGACCGATAAAAGACTGCACGTTACATTGCATTTGTAATTCAACCCCTGCTGTCAGTATTACATTTCTGTTTAGTGAAATACAATGAACACACCCCCTTGGCGGGGCAGATAAGAAAGTGTGCGTTCCAAGCGTTGAAGGAATGAGCCAGGGTCGGGTGCTTCACGATGAACGAGTCGAGCGAGCCAGCCGAGTATCTCAAGGCGTTAATATTTGTGTCTGCGCTGGTTCCTTTCAGATCCTGGGCTATCCCCCCCCGCATCTTGCAAATTGTCTGAAACAATACGTCCAAAAATCTCAGAAACTGCCCCGCAGCGACTAAAAAGTAAACTTGCACTAAAACGTGTGGCTTCCAATTATGTATGTTTGCATTATCCGTCTGCCACAGATGGCCTTATTTCATCAAGTCTCACAAAAAAAATCCACCCAAACTGTTTCTAACAAGGCCCCGAAGCAACTAAACCAATTTAAAACATTTGCGACGCCAACGCTACAAGAACTGGATGCCGTTAACTGAAATCACGAGCGAACAGGCGACCGAGCGAGTGGTTGCACATTTGCGTGCGTGCCCGTGTGAAACTCACGCCTCCAAGGCCTTGAGCTCGTGCGTGATGACGGGCTGGAACGGTGCCATGCTCTGGGCGCGTAGCAGATAGTACCGTGCTCGCACATAATCTCCCAGCATCAGGTGGGCCTGCAGTCACACACGGGGTTAAGTCGTTGGGCTTATTTGGGGGAAAATTGCCCCCCACACAGTGACATCGCCCCTGTATCGATCGACCGTACCCATTATCAGGTCACCAGTGTTGGAGGATCGCTGTTCAGGTCCAGTCCACTTCACGCTGGATGGTGGATGTGGACAATCCCGTGGTATTTGAAAAGTAGTAGGCCATGTGTGCCGTGGACATGGTCCATACGAGCTACATTTGATACACGACCCGCAAACAACATGATTCATGTATGTAAAACTGATTTTGCACCGTATGTTGCCAACCCATGCTAATCGGAGGTGCAGGGGAAGGACAAACAAACAGAAACACAAAAAGTAATTCATAAAAGCCGCATTACAACATTGAAACCGACTGCCAGACTATAACCCTTTGCGGATCGCCAGCACCTGCCGTACGCCTTGTGCTGCGTAGGGATGGCTGCCACTGGGATGGTCTCCCCACCCCCCCTGGCTCGACTGCTGCAGAGCATTGGAATGGCTAAGATCAGACGTGGTTCATGATTGTTTTTGAGATACTGAAGCATTTAAGCACTGTATAAATGTAAATCCTTATCTCTATAGACAAGGACGAATATGCCCGTGTGCGCATTATAGAACGATCAGTACGTGCGGTTGGTTTTCTCGGAGCGCAAACGCTCCTGTATAAAACAGGCCCCAAGTTGCAGGATCCTCCTGCAAAAGTCCTAAGCCCAAGTGAGGATTTGTGACATTGAATAAAGTCTGGTGCGAATTGCTGGACCAGGACAGTGACTCACCAAAAACAATCTTAATCTCAGAAAAAAATCTCGTAGATGTTGGTCTTTTTACACTCTAACCCTCACTTCCAATCTCTTTTTCCATGAAATGCATGAAGTGGGTTCCATTTGTGCTGCTATAAATTTCCACGTGATAAGCCACTTTTGTAGAGCTATCATTTGTGGCCAGGTCACTTGTTAAAAAGAGCTATATAGCTCAGCGACCCTTATCTGGTAAAATAAAAAGTTTAGTTTTAGTTGAAAATGTTGCGAGGATGCCGTCTTAAATGACTGCTTGTAAAACAAATATCAAACGATTCATTTTATATCGCTTCTTTCATGCAAGTTGCATCTCATAATCGCTGAATAGGAAGCACAGACAAGCCGGAAGGCTGCCAGGTGGTGAGCCGGCACTAACAATTGTTCTGCAGTTCTCTATATATTAAGTTGTTTTTAACCAATTCGTGTTCATAAACGTGAGAGGAAACTGCGGCAACACGATCCCATAGAGAAAAGGGACAATAATTACACTGGTCAACAACAAAAAAACATGTTTTTCTGGCCTGGACTTTTGCAGCTGTTTTAGACTAGTTTCAGGGTGCTGATTCCAAATCTGATCTCAGATTTGCTCTACCACATCTCATTTTTATGCTATCGGCATAGATTTTACCCGAAATTAACTCTGTCACTTATGATTGCAAGTTGTTGCGAGTCGGTGACTGCTTTAGTGTTAAAATATGGTGCTGTATTTTTAGGATAGTGTGTTTATAATATAATTTAATCTAGATATCCACATTTATTTAATATTTTTCTTCCGCAGTTTTTATTGAAAATGCAATATTTGATATCTCAAAAACCTGATGTGATAAAAGACAAAAACTGATTCCAGATTTGGAATCGGCACCCCAAAACTACCTTAACACTGTTGGAATACCTTATGCCAGAAAAAGTGTGTTGACCAGTGATATCAGCCCACACTTTGCTGTACTGCATTCTGCTGGCAAGCCAGGGCACTTGCACCTCGGATTCCCACAGGAAGGGAGTCTCCCAAAATTGTCAACTGTGCGCTGATCCAATAACCTTGGCTGCTGCCTCCACAGTGGTGGATGAAAGGCAGCCACGGGCATAGCCTCCACCGCTCAGAAAATAATGAATTACTGCCCAGTCAAAATGACGGCAAGAATTGAAAGAACCCTTGCAGTCGAGTGACTTAATTCAACTCGGTGGAACCCTCTTTGCGAGGATTGCGGAAACGCAGTGCAAAGACGAAGCCTATTTGATTTCTGCTCAAACACGTGGTGGGGCCTTTCTGGCACAAACCTCCCACCCAAGCCTGACACTGTTGACGAGATTAAGAAAGTCAAAACCTATAGCCTAGAGTTGGGCCTTCAAATGCTGCCGGATAACATTGATTGGTAACATCCATGGACTAAAGAGGTAAAAGGTTGCAAGCCTGCAATCACTTGATCTCTGGATTGCGAGTCCAATGTGCTAAACGTTACACCGCAGAAGCATCCGATGAGATAACGCCAGACTCTATCTGCATGGTAGTAAGACAAAAGGAGGCCAGTTTGTTTCATTACCCAGGTTGCTCCATGACAGCACATGATAAGCTGTTATTCAGATATTAAATATGATAACAAATTCGATGTTTTTGTGCAAGACTCGATTATATTTTATCTGTGCTGCGCCTATGACAAAAATCACCCAGAATGTGCCCAATGTTGTAAAATCTTGAAAGCCAAGCTGGAATTTGGCCTGGAAAAAGCTTGGATGGGAGACGACCATGGATAACAAGCCGCAGAGCGCTACTTTGCGAGCAGCGGAGGGTAGTGTAGGCAAATTCCATTGCTGTACTGTACTCTTATGCCGTGTCTATACTCCCCGCCTTCACCAACCCGCATTGACCAGCATGGCACAATGTGGTCAAAGCATGCTCCCACAGCCCACCCAGCATGAAGAGGCCTCCAGTCCAGCAATGGATTGATTCTATCTGCTAGAACAAGGGGTACAACCAACATCCAATGAATCCTCCGCAGCCAGTGAGACTCACCTGGACTCGGTATGGATTCACCCACACATTCCGCTTGTTTACAATGGAAGCTTACACAGTTCCTATCTCCAGGGGGGTCAGTTGCCCGACACCTGTCCTGCTGTCTGCCCAATAAACATTCCAGCAAAATATATCAATCATTTTAACGCCAGGATAGTGGTGGAGGGAAGGGGGGTGGGCGTCAAAAACTGGACGGTAAATAAAAACACAAATCAATGCTCTGCCTCCACCTACTGGGACAATCCCTGAAGCGAACGTTTGGGAGAATCTCTCACACGTGTCATCAGGTTGTACCACGTACTTGTTTGGTATGACGTCCAACAGTTTCAGTCCATGTGCTGGGAACTTCTTCGGAAACGTGCATGTCAGGTCATCCCGACGCGCGAACATCTCACCGATACGTGACAGTGCCATTACGTAACACGGCGTGGCAGAGTTCATCTGCTGGTGGTGGGCCACCGCTCTCCCCCACCCCTGCCCTCCCCGAGACATAACTACCTCCATTTAGAGCTCGTTCTCCTTCGTTACCATTTGGCCAAAGGTTCACCAGTCCTTCGTTCTGTCTGGGTGAGAACCGTGTGTGTGTGTGCGCGCGCGAGTACTGGGTGCGGTGTGTAAACATCCTAGATTTGAAGCTTTCGTGACTGCAAGTATTCATATTCTTAGGTTCTTTCGGTAAAGTCGCGTAGGTAAAAAATAAAAATTAATAAAAGTAAAATAAAAATAAAATAAAAAGCACGACGTTTCGGATAGCTATCGTGCTGTGACGGTTCCACCTGAAGACGGAAGCTTGTGTTGCCTCCGAATCGTCGTGATTTTTATTTAATTTTTATTTTACTTTTATGAATTTTAATTTTTTACCTACGTGACTTTACCAAAAGAACCTAAAAATATGTGTAAACATCACCGCTGGGGGAGACAAAGGCGGCCGGGCGTGGTGCTGGCCACCCTCTCGTGTGCCGTGCCGGCCGTCATAGGTGCTACTCGCTAACGGCACTCGCCCCAACAGTCTGTTACAGGCTATACGTAGGATCTTTGTCTTTAGCTCGTCACCTGGCCGAGTCGGAAGCAGGCCTTGACGTTGCTGGGCTGCACACGGAGGGCTCGTAGCGCATAATGCACAGTGCTGCTAGGACGGTTCTTGCGTAGGTAACACAGGGCCAGGTTGAGCAGCACCTTGAGGAGCGACGCCTCCATCTGACTCTCCTCCTCGTTGCTCGACAGGTGAGCATTTTCGAGAATGCGCAGGGTCTATGGCGAGGCAGATAAACAAACACAAATAATTGTCTCACGTGTGCAACTCTTTAAAGGTCCACTGAGCTATATAGGTCTTTTTCCGAAGTGACCTGGTCAGAAATTATAACTCAACGAAGTGGTTATCACGTGGAAATTCATAGCAGCCAAATACTCTAAATGCATGATTCTAAATGCGGAGGGAAAAACCAGAGCATCCGGAGAGAAATACACGTGACCAGGCGGAGAACACGCACTCCCAAATATATAGGCGTCAGGGTCGGGATCGAACCCACGACCCTCCTGCATCTCACCACTGCGGTGCCCTAAGGATTTCCATGGATAGGGCATTGACTTAAATACATTGCACATCTCATCTCAAGCATTCAAATTCCCTGCTACGATACGATCCAGCCAAAGGGACCGGGGACTGACCCCGGGACCCCGGCCCCATAAGGTGGCTGTCCCAGTGCCGTGCACAAGTTGTACACAGCACCGGCCTGCAATCGGGCATCAAGTCGGCCAATAAGGAGAAGAAGAAAAAAACCTTAACACATTTGTCAATAACACTGTGGCTGTATATAATAGGCAGAGTTTCGGGCAGTAGACCATCTTCATAGCACGTAAATATGAGGACAGAAAGAGTGCATTTAGAGCTGGCGTGGGTGGGAGTGGAGTCATGTTACTTTGCGATGTGACAGCTTGCCTTCAAGTACTTGTGCAAGGCTCGGTCGTAGCGGCCAGCTTGAAAGTGGGCGTTTCCAGCCGCTCGCTCATTCAGAGCCACGTGTAGCACCTTCTCCAGCTTCAGCCGTTTTCTCTCCTCCTGCAAGAATCATTTCTTAGCCTCCAATGGAATCGCGAGCTGATCATTCGGCCGGCAACAGTGGCCATTCAACCGCAGAGGCCCCGGTGACACCGACGCGGCAAGCTCATTACTCTCAATCACCGGTCTATTAATTAATGAGGATAAATGAATGTCCTGGATAAACTTGATAGCCCACGTAAATATGCGTGTAGGGATTATATATATATTACAAGAAAAATAACTTAATTGTCCAAATCATGCGGAATGCACCCAAATCTCATCAGATGTAGGAAGAGCTAAGCAAGCAGGATTTGTGCATGGATTGTGCTTGGTTCAGTGAACCCCATGTACCTGCAGCAGATAGAAACATACGTACCCGGCCGGGTACGGGTACCCGTTTGTGACCCTGGTGCGGCCGGGTACGGGTAGGCCGTGAGTCACTGGTGAGGAACCGTTTGTCACTTATTTCCTAACGTCTTGTCTCTTCTCACAATTCAAGTTCCTAGAATCAACCCACCCGCGCCTGCAACATGGCTTCATCCCAGAGGTCGCAATCGGGTACCCGTACCCTACCTGATACCCGGCCGGGTACGGGTAGCCGGGTATCGGGTAGGGTACGGGTACCCGTTTGCGACCCTGGTGCGGCCGGGTACGGGTAAGGAATCAAAACCCGTTTGCAACCTCTGCATACAACACACTCACTCATCACACTGCAAGTCATTCTCTTTCTGCTTCTTTTCTCGCACTGCTCCACATTGGAATTCCCAAACATCGTCTCTTCTGCTATAATAACCATGCTCAATTCAATTTTCCTCCATTCAAGAAATGTGTTAACTCTTATCTATTACAACTCTTACAGTGCTATTGCGGGCCGCTTTACATTTTAGGCCTTTGAACCTGTGCTCAGAAACTATAAAAAAAATCAATAAGCACGACCCCACGCTGACCCCCACACCAGGATATCTAGGTGAACAAGGTGGGTGTGTGTACCGGCGTCATGGTGTAGAAGTCGTCCACATTGATGCAGTCGATGAATCCCAGGAGCTCCACCTCCAGGAGGACGGTGGAGTTGGGCGGGATGCGTGGGGGGCAGCCCAGGGCGCCGTACGCATAGTCCGAGCGCACCAGGAACCGCGCCATCTCGCCCTTGCACATCGTCAGCAGCCCCACCTCCAGGCCCGGCATCACCGCCCCTGTCCAACAGATGGCAGGAGGGATGGATGAATGGATGGATCGACAAAGGCCTGACGGATCACCCGACGGATGGATGGACGGACAAACGGAAGGATGGACAAAAGGATGGAAAAATGGACAGACGAAAGGATGGAGAAATGGCCAGGATATGAAATGCACAGACAGACGAGTGACCGATGGACAAATGGGAGGGTGGACAGATGGACGACCAAACAGACAGATCGACAGATGGACAGAGCTCATGCATGTTTTCAATCATAGTTGGGGAAAGTATTATTAAAGGGTAGAAATGTCACACTGAACAATTATAACGAGTCAGAGCCGCACAGAAGTCACCTTTGCCGAGCCACAGGCGACTCTCCTCCTTCCGCAGGTGGCTCGAGTCGTACGGCTCGTCAGAGTACTCCAGGTAAGCGTTGTAATTCACTGGAAAAAAAATCAAACCCGTGGGCATTTACCATTGCGCGGCAAGCAATTTTAAATCCTACTCTTCACGTGACCCAATCTCCCAACAGGTAAAACAATGAGCCGTTAGCCGTGTAGGTAACGAGAGATTTTTCAACTTGGTTAAGGCCATGATACACCGGGGAAATTTTCGGCAAATTGTTGCCACAAATTATAACCGGCAAAGCATATACGAGTGACAAAGGCAACTTGAATTTTGATTTAAAGCTTTCGTGACTGCAGGGATTCATATTCTTGGTTCTTTCGGTAAAGTCACGTAGAAGGGAAATAATAAAATAATACAAATATAAAACAATAAAAAAATCTCACGACGTTTCGACTGCAACACAAGAAATCATTATCAGGTGTGAAATCCACAGCAAGAAAATTTCAAATTTCACATTTTCTTGCCGTGAATTTCACACCGAAACGTCGTGAGTTTTTTGTTTTATATTAGTATTATTTTATTATTTCCCTTCTACGTGACTTTACCGAAAGAACCAAGAATATAAAGGCAACTTGGTTCGGCAACAGTGGAGCAGGGCTCATAAACTGGCTGCCCAATGGCTAAATGTGGCTCATGATGGCGCTTGAGGAGGCCTCCCAAGACACAAAGAAATATGGATTGGTGGGGGTAAAGTGTGGGTACTTCCACCAATGCGGAATAGGTCAAAATAGCCTCTTCACTTGGGCTCTCTCTCAGTGGAAGCTTTTCTGCCAGTGGTGGCTTGAGCGAGCAATTGCAGGGCTGCACCTTAACCTTTATTTTACTTTACTCTTCGCCCTTACCCGTTCCGAGATGTCTAAGTTTCAGGGTGGGTCCCGTTCACCGCTGAATCTCGGAACCCGCAAGCGGTTAGCGTTTTTTTTTACAGAGGCACAGCACCGGCATTTTTAAAGATATTTGTTCTCATCACAAAACTGCATCGACGACTGCACTCGATGATAGCTGGCGCTAAACTGTGCCATATGCACTCCCACATGGCCTTGTTGGAGCCTCGGTACCAAAACAGTTATTATATTTACGTCATCGGAACGGGAAAAAGGTTAAAAATACTCCACCAAAATTTCTGACAAAAACCTCTGATTGCTGAAAGTTCAGGGACGATGTCCCCCGATCCTTTCTGAAGAATAATCTTGAGCACCCCTCCGTTGCCCGTCAGGTCAACCATATTTCTTGCGATCCTTTGAAAAGGACTCTGCACACAGAAATTACGAGAATCTGAACCGAAACAAGTTTTAAATGCAATCCTATCTCAATGTCCAAATTATTTTTTATAAAAACATTCGGTTCAAAGGTGGTCTTTGGTAGGGAGGAGATATGTCAGGGAAGCCTGGAAGAGCAACACCAATACAAGGGCACATGCTGGATGTAGCCGGGTCCCAGCAGAGCCACAGGGAATTCTCGGTGGGGGGTTGGGTAGCTTCTTCACAAATTGCACGTGACAATTAATCAACAGGAAAGAGATTCGTGCAATATTATCTTGCAGTGCCGTTAACACGTTTGGAATATAATTGTGAAACAAAAACACGGTATACGGTGGTTTACAGTTGCAACTTAGTAAAATCTTTTGGAAAGCACAATGACAAGCATCTTGTTTCTCCAGAGGGCAGTGGAGCACAGGACAACGACCCCTTTTCCAATGGCACATCAGAGCCATGCAAGTGCAGGCCCATCGCAATCCAGTGGTATTCCACTCGCTATTCGAGGAGCCGAGCCAGGAAAAAACTGTGAAATTCTCGTCTCACAAGACATCTGAATCTGGCTTGGGGTCAAGCAGGGTCAGAAGGGGGGTTAATAATCTTTTTCATGTTGCGTGCGACGCGAGTGGCACGACTTGGGAGTCTGTAAGAGATAAATCTTGCATCTCCCAAGCCTTTACCGTGGACAACAGCATGAGAGATCAAGCCCTCACCAGATCGTCTTCTTTATTAGTGGTGTCATTGTCATCAATTCCCAGGCACATGGAGCGCAGCTGATCAACATAACCTTCACATCTGCCATAATCATTGCCATCTGTCACATTGGGAGAGAGGACACATGCACAACATAGATGTGACACCACTGACGATTTCCATAAATTTTAATGACCGATGAGATGTTAACAGGTCTCGGGTTCAATCCCGACCTTAATTGCTGTATATTTGGAGTGTGCGTGTTCTCCCCTTGGTCGCGTGGATTTTTCTCCGGATCCTCTGGTTTTTCCCTCCACTTTTAGAATCATGCATTTAGAGTATTTGGCTGCTGAAAATTCCACATAATAACCACTTCGTTGAACTATCATTTCTGGCCACATCAATTCTGAAAAAGAGCAACATAGCTTAGTGGGCCTTAGTAAAAAAAAAATGATAGCATCTGCTGCTGCCAATCAAACTAGTGGCTACTGATGATATATGATCAATCTGATTGGCTACCTCTTACAAAGGTGACCGAAGATGAATACGCCGACTTAATTTGTAACACGGATGACGGTTCGGTTTAGCCAGTGTCCCAGCGATTTCACAAGAGACAAAACATGGTGCATGAGCAAAGCAACAACAAAACAAAAACATCAATATTGCAGAGAACGAGTGTAGAATTAATACGATGACTGCTGCTGCTGCCGCCAATGATCAATGTTGTGGCAGCTGCTATTACTATTGTGACGGTTCGATATGTGACGTGCTGTACTTTAATAGCATGCCAATGATGAAAAAAGAGCTACTGCACTACGCGAACAACGGCAGCATCCGTCATTGGCTAATAAGTGACGGCACCACATCGAATGTGCCAAGCTAGGTGCTTTAAAAATATATATGTTAAAGCCACGCTTTTACAGAGCCATCTGCACACACCAACACACGTGCTTTTATCCCATTCTTCGGACCCCTTGTTGGGGTCTATGTCCAGTACGGACCCCGTGCTGTCGGGCGAGCACAGCTCGTGCAGCGAGTCCCTCAGGGTCTCCTCCAACTCATCATCCTGGTGGCAGAGGAACACAACAATAATCATGATCAGGGGTTGCCTACATGTGACTCCATTGCCGCATTGAGCTCTTTAAAGGACTGCTTTGTGGCTCCCGACATTGGAACTGCAAAAAACCCCTTCCCAATTATTTTTGATAAACGGTGAACGTCTAAAATCCCAACAATGATTTATAATGCGGCATTACAATTAAGAATATTTATACTGGAGGAATCCGACGCACTATAAAGCTCTTTGTGAATGTGTAACGAGTTCAACTGAGTCGCAGACTTGGAGGCAACACATTAATTGAACTCCAACACACGGGGTAACTTTCCCCTTAACAGAATAACAACCTATGGTGGTGACCACCAGGCTAACTACACTAATTACAACGTAACTGCTACTACGGACCGGGACCAACAGCTCGGTTCCAGGTCCACGTGTTGGAGACTCGTTGAACGTAGACGAAGGTTCCTTCCAGGATGAACAACAACGCCGGTCCATCTCAGAACCCGGCTTATATTCTCTGCGGCGTGGCTGGTTCCGCCCTTGGCCACGACCACCTTCTAGAATCCTCGGGAAGGATCTGGATCCCAACCACGTGACCACCCCTAGCCCCTACTTGGGGCATCTTTGTAGACTTAACTGGTCACGTGTCTTCCCGGGTCAACCAGAGTGCCACGGCCTCAAGTAACCTCATCCTTCAGCCGGCACTCCCTCACCCTGTCCTGTAGGGTCGGGCACTGCACACCAAGCATGGTGCCATCTACCGCTATCAATCAGCGCTAACCGGGCCCCTCTAGGGTCGGTACTACACCCACACACCATTGTGGTATCCACGATGTTACATCGCACGCTGTGCCTCTCTATGGCCAGCACTACACGTTGACGACATCCCACCATGTCACGACAAATGTGATGTTGTTTAAACAGATCTCTTTAAAGTGGCCTTCCCTCTTCAGTTTTGTCGGTTGCCTCTGGTTCTGTTTCCCCCCCCCCCCCCCCGCATGTCATGCATTTTTATTGTTAAAGCCAATACAAAAATCATGGTTTTTGATGTTATTCGTCGAGTACCGTCTTGTATTCACGTGCATTGCAGCTCTCGAAATAGTTTTTTGTTACCGAATTCGAAGAAAAATGTTACTTTTGATCACGATCAATCTGCTGCGAAGCCGGTAACTTTCTTGCAGCTCGACCTGTTGAGGTTTCTCCCTTTGAACACGACGAAGATTGATAATTGTTTTTGTTACCCTTCTATCTGGCAACAAAACTGACACCTTTTTTTACAAGGAGTCATGTTTGCATAGACCACAATACCTGCAGCCATAATGCAAACAAAAAACATAACTCTGATTAAAAAAAAAGGTGTCAGTTTTGTTGCCAGATAGAAGGGTAAAAACCCAATTATCATATTTTTTACTGGCAAATGAGGTTCCAATGGTGTAAACGACAAGGAACGTCAACCTCGGCACAATGGACGTCGCCACATGTATGACCAGCCGAGCTGAGATGCCATGCAACTTTGGTCCACACATTGCTAGCACGGGGTGGGGCCCAGATGTTTCGTGACCCCCATTCAATTCTCGAGAACTTTAAAAAAATTTAAGATTAATTTCAAACAGTAATGAATATGCAAAGGAACAGAAATTCATCGTGGTAAATTTCGATTGAAAGCTTTCGTGACTGCTGGGATTCATCTTCTTGGTTCTTTCGGTAAAGTCACGTAGAAGGGATATAATAAAATAATAAAAATAAAACATAATAAAATAATTCTCACGACGTTTCGGCCACAATACAAGCAGCCGTCCTCAGGTGAAAAACAGGTCTGTCGGGAAGACTGCGTCTGAATGAAACAGCCGTCCTCAGGTGAAAAACAGGTCTAAAAATAAAAGCTGCTTGCGTTGTGGCCGAAACGTCGTGAGAATTATTTTATTATGTTTTTTTATTTTATTATTTCCCTTCTACGTGACTTCACCGAAAGAACCAAGAAGATTCATCGTGGTAGTTTTAAAAAAAAAAATTGGGGGGAGGAGGGCGGGGGTGTCAAAAAGACGCCGAGGCCATTTGTTATACACGACTCAAGTCTGCGCTCCTTCTATGGAGAAAGAGCAAACAACGACGGCAACTCTCTCCTGCAGCCCTGTTCGTCGTCGTCGTGGTGGCGAGCAGGCATCGGACACCGACACTTCGCACTCTTCAACGCAGCCACCATCACGCGCAAGCCTAGAAGAGACACTCGGGACGAGGGCCTATCTGAAGCCGACACCATCACCCCCACACGCCCCCGCTAGACAACAACCCGGGCACTTGATTAAACACGCCATTTCATCGCTCCATCTCCACGTTTGGTGATGTCCCTTCGTTTAGGCTGACCACCCCATGCCCCAACTCAGCAGCGAGATAATTCGAGGCCAGTATCCCTCCATTCCATGCCACGTGCTCTCTGGGCCCCACGTTCCACCACCACCACCACGTGGCTATTCGAGACAATTTGAATTCCATTTTTAAATCCTTTATATTAAGTTCACTTGCGTGCTTGCTTGCTTACGACCGTGCAAATCTTTCGGTCGTTTTTTAACCCACTTCCCGTGATCCAATCGAGCTGACATTTTGCACACAGACTCGTTGTGCGTGACAATTTATGTTCGTGAAAAAAAAATCCAAAATTTTACACTTTTTAGGAAAAAAAAATTTCATATTTAATTTAAAATACCAATGTGATAAACATGAAACTCTTACTCAAGAAAAACAGAAATGAATAATAAAATAAAACCGATGCCACGCATATAAAGGATTTATAGTGAAAAACTTTGTTTTTACGGGTAATTTTTTTATACCTCCTGCGTGTGTCCTCGTGTCAAAACGTGTTCCTCGTTTTTAGTTTGTTAAATCTCCCGTGTAATTATCGTTTTGTTTGGTTTGTTATAAAGTTTTCTCTGTTCACTCGCCATTACAGTGCCGTGCTATACATATAGCAACAAGTTCTGTGTCCTATTACCAATACCGACGAGTTCGATTCCCGGCCACGGCTGTCATCAGTGGCGAGCGATACATGAAGCAGTTCTGCCCAATAGGACCAGTGTGGTGAAGTATGGTCACAAACAAACTCCTCCACCGTCAAAAAAAATCAAATTTCTTAAACCGAGAATGTAAACCACACAACTCTTCCTATGAATCTTACCACAATCTCTGATCACAATCTCTGGGAATCTTAACTCCCAAGTCTGAGCGTGGAACCACCAACACCCACCATGTCCATTACAGCCACACAAACTACAAGATCCGAGTCTAAATCCTCACCCGGTCGTCTAAGAAGCTGTTGACGGTGTCGCCTTCATCATAGCCGCAGGCTCCCTCCGGCTCCGACAAGTTCATGTTCTTCCAGGCGCCTTCCATCACGTCGATTGGTGATGGTGAAGGACGATGATGGTGAAGTGCACCTGGCCTGGCACAGGACCGCGTGGTTAACGCCACCGTCAACTTAGTGGCGAATGGCTGGTATTGATTGCTATGATGATGGCGAGGATGATGGTGGTTATGGTATTGGTGCTGGTGGCGATGGTATGTTGAGGACAACGACGACGACGATGATGGTGGTGATGGTATGATAAAAACGATGGTGAGGACGATGTTGGTGATGGTACGATGGCGGTGATGGTATATTAATGGCGAGCACAATGATGATGGCGATGGGATAATGACGACGACGACGGTGGTGATGGTATAATTATGATTTCACGATCACGACGATGGCCATTACAGCTCGCCACGTGTCAACATCGGACAGAGCCACGAGGAGTCACACTCTTGGTTCTTTCGGTAAAGTCACGTGGGACGTTGGTGATCCACGTGCGTCGCGACTCGCGCCACGCGGCGCGATCAGCGCAGACGAAGAAGGCGCAGCCCCTGCAAGTGCGTTGGCTCCACACGGCAACTGCTGCTGCTGCTGCTGGTGGTGCTGGTGGCAAGGGCAATCATCGCCGTCAGTGCCGAGCGGGCGGGTGTTTTGTGTCCTGCAGGGAGGGGCTGGGTGGGGAGGGTGGGGCTGTTTGGGGAGGGTGGGGCTGGGTGGGGAGGGTGGGGCTGGGTGGGGAGGGAGGGGCTGGGTGGGGAGGGAGGGGAGGAGCTGGGTGGGGAGGGTGGAGCTGGGTGGGGAGGGGCTGGGTGGGGAGGGTGGGGTTGGGTGGGGAGGGTGGGGCTGGGTGGGGAGGGGCTGGATGGGGAGGAGCTGGGTGGGGAGGGTGGGGCTGGGTGGGGAGGGGCTGGATCGGGAGGAGCTGGGTGGGGAGGGTGGGGCTGGGTGGGGGATGGGTGGGGAGGGGCTGGGTGGGGAGGGGAGGGTGGGGAGGGGCTGGGTGGGGCAGGGTGGGGGGTGGGAGGAGTGGGGCTGGGTGGGGCTGGGTGGGGAGGGGCTGCGTGGGGAGGGAGGGGCTGCGTGGGGAGGGAGGGGCTGGGTGGGGAGGGAGGGAGGGGCTGGGTGGGGAGGGGCTGGTCACCCCGTGGTGCCCTTATAAAACTCAACGTTTCACCTACTCACGCCGGCTTGTGCCCGCCCTCACAGTCGGGCATATTTGCGGAATACATGCAGGGCCGGATTAAGGCACGGGGCTTTAGGGGCCGTCCATAAATGACGTCACGCGATTTTGGACGGTTTTTGACCCCCCCCCCCCCTCGTCACACGGCGTCACAAAAAGTCAGACCCCCCCCTCAAATATGACGTCACAAAGCTCTGCCCCCCCCCCCCCCCCAAAAAAAAAACATGCTTAAAATCGCTTTAAACTATTGTCATTGTGCGTATTTAATGTGGCGCTGCACTCTGATGTTGTAGGAGAAAACATTAAAAAGTTGCGCATTTTGATGTGACGTCACATTTCTCAACCCACCCCCCTCGTCACACATCGTCACAAATGTCTGACCCCCCACCCCCCCTAGGTGCGTGACATCATTTATGGATGGCCCCTAAGGTTAGATCACAATTTGCCTTTTGATATACAATACTCCATATTCATCAGTGTGCTCCATCTAAACCCAAATCAGTGGCATATCGTGGTTTGGCTTGGGCCCAGGTGCAGGGAATCAAATTGAGTCACCTGAGAGCTCGGGTCCAGGGACTTGAGGACCCATAGGCCCCGTGCAGTTGCACCGCCTGCACATTCGCTTGCCCAATACTCGTCGTTATGCATTAAACACAAGCAATGGTTTTGTCAATTCTAAAATATAAATATAGGCAGTGGTATGAGTATACGTCAGTAGTGTGGAGTGAATGTGGCGACCGCAGCGTTAGACAGTCCATGGCTGGTAATTTAGTGAGGCCGTAACCTGGCTCTGAAAATAAGCTGTCAACATTTGGGGGAGACGTGAATGATGACCTTCATAAAGGGGAAGCCCTCCACGAGGCACTGCCGCAGACGCTGGTGTTCAAACCGAAATACCTGCGAGTGATTTTCTTTCTGTCCAAGAGCTGTGTCACTTAACAGTGACAAGGGTCAGACATTGATGCAACATTAGAGTGAGGATACTTTTCAAAGGGCAGGCAACGCAAAGGGTAACCACCGCCATTGTACACATGCAGTCCATGCAAAAGTCATGTTGTCACTCCACCGCTGGATGATGGCCTCCCCATGCCGTGTGAGTCGTGGCGATTTATTTGGCAATGGTTCACCACGCGCTGGGCAGTGGGTCAGTGAAGGATGAGTCATTAGACGCGTGGGAGCACATAAGTAGGTAGAGTACAATGGAGTTTTCTGTACTACCCACCCACCATATAGCTTCCTATTACGACCGGCTTGTGCACGGTGGTCGCTCATCCAAGCAATATCCAGGCTCAACGATGCTCAGCTTCCAAAATCTGTTGAGATTCACTGTGTTCTCGGCGATGTGATCATGAGAAAAACAATGTAATTAGCATGACGGTATTTCCGGTTCCTTTACGCATTTAGCGACCTGCCGACAGCATTTTTCATCCTAATGCCTTTAAGATGTCAGCAACGCATGGGTGAGTCCAGGTGGATTCAAGCATTTCTGAGTTAATCAAACCCACCATTCCAGCCTTACCGCCTACATGTTCTTATTACATTTCTCTTGGAGAGAAAAAAAAGCAATTACTGTACTGGGAAGAGCAGTTTGGCCACTTTAGCTTTTCCCACAGCTGTACAGCCATCAGTTACAAGAGATTTGGAGATAGGATCCCACCTTTCCCTGGCCACCTACATTTGCTGAGAGCCACAGTGCAGCAGGCTCAGCTCAGCTCCTGGTCCTCATCAGAGCCCTTTATAAATTCACACACACACACGCAGGGCTCATTGGTTTAAACACCAGTGTCTGTGGAAGAAGTCGAGTCGTGCCGTTGACATCACATTCGAGTGTACCAATTGATGCAACTAATGACGAAATTGACGAAGCCTTCCCCTGGCCCTGTCTGGTTCTGGGCCATATTCAGATGTCAATGAGGCTTATAATCAACTGGCCGCATGCCCCAACTCCCGAATTGGAATGGAAGTAAATGTAATTGTGCTAACTTGATCGTTGCTTGACAGGCAAAGCAAGTGGTTAAATACTCACAGCAGCCTTCTTGGTTCTTTCGGTAAAGTCACGTAGAAGGGAAGTAATAAAATAATAAAAAATAATAAAAATAAAACATAATAAAATAATTCTCACGACGTTTCGGCCACAACGCAAGCAGCCGTCCTCAGGTGAAGAACATGTCTGTCGATAAGACAGAGTCTAAATGACACGTCTTAGGCTGCTTGCGTTGTGGCTGAAACGTCGTGAGAATTATTTTATTATGTTTTATTTTTATTATTTTTTATTATTTTATTACTTCCCTTCTACGTGACTTTACCGAAAGAACCAAGAAGATGAATCCCTGCAGTCACGAAAGCTTTAAATCGAAATTTATACTCACAGCAGATAAAAAAAATGCATAGGCCACTTCACAGAAGACAGTTTTATTTACACGTGTTTACAGAAATTCTCAAAAGGGTAAGGATAACATTCAGTCCTTCAATCATAATTGGGCCTGAATCAGTATTTAATATTTGCGATATTACTTCAAATAAAATGTCAAATATTTTTTCTCTGTCTTCATGTTTAATTCAAGCAGCCCATCTCAGTTGCCACTATTTATGGATGTCAGGTTTAAAATCGTGCTTCACGCTTCTGGCCAGCTCTTCTGCGTACATTTCATAACGGCCCGTCATCTGTCAACACACACACACACGCGCATTTACACACACAGTCTTGCACATATATTTTCTGTTACAAAAAACATAATATTAAAATCCTCTAGCATCTTTGTGCTGAAAATAAGATTGTATGCGTGTCGAGTACGTGTTCAGGTGTATGCATTTTTGTGCGCATGCAAATGTGTGTGTATGAGTGTTCATGCGCATTTGTAGTTGTGGTTGTGTACGTATGTGTAGCTATATGTGTACGTTCTAGAAAGTGTGAACATTTCCTCTGAATAGCGCCGACGTGTCTTTGGGTTTTACTGCGTGTTTTAGACTAATTTCAGGGTGCTGATTCCAAATCTGATCTCAGATTTGCTCTATCACATCTCATTTTATGCTATCGGCATACCCCATTTTCATTGATTTTACCCGAAATTAACTCTGTCACTTATGATTGCAAGTTGTTGCGAGTCAGTGACTGCTTTAGTGTTAAAATATGGTGCTGTATTTTTAGGATAGTGTATTTATATTATCATTTTATGTAGATATCCACATTTATTTAATATTTTTCTTCTGCAGTTTTATTAAAAATGCAATATTTGATATCTCAAAAACCTGATGTGATGAAAGACAAAAACTGATGCCAGATTTGGAATCAGCACCCCAAAATTACCTTAACACCGTTGGAATACCTTATGCCAGAAAAAGTGTGTTGACCAGTGTAATTATACAGCACAGCCGCTAAAACCTAAGCAGTAGCATTTGCTTTGAATATTTCCTCACTCAGCAATTAAAGAGAAAGATTTAAAACTCTGTATCATAAATCAATTAATTCTAAGCGTGACACTGTACAATTGTACAACATATAAAAAAGAAAACCACTTGGGTAATCACTTTTGGGGTAGACGAAGGACACGATATTACCCGATCGCTCTTACTCGGCTTCACCACGTTGGGCAGGCGGCTTTGTCGCATGTGCTGGCAGCTCTTCAGCAATGTAGCTTACCATCAAACGTCAGGTATTGATTCCTCTACCCATGTGGAGGTCTCGGTCTACACGTTTCGCCTCTTCCAATCTATGTTCAATGACCAGAGTGCAGGTCGAATTTTTTTTTTCTTTTCTGCTTTGTCCCTCAAAATTATCAATCTTGGAATTCCCTCCCATCATCTCCTTTTCCCAAGCTCCAAAAGCTTTGCTCAATTCAAGAATCATATGAACTCTGGTCAAGTGCTACTTCAACAGCGCTGTTTGAATTGCTGTTTGTTGAGTCGGCAGTTGCCGTAGCAATGTCGGGGCAGGTGGATCAGCCACTCCGAGGGGGCCACCGCGAAAATGTGAATCCGGATTGTTGGAAACGAATTAACTCCCAGTAGCTGGTGACTTACATATTTGGGCGACGCGAGCATGCCACTTTGCCCCGGGCACAAAAATACAGAACTACCGCCTTTTCTGGCCACTTGGCATTTTTTTTGGCCCTTGTTTGTGCTCAGCAACCGTGATTTTTAAAAAAAATGGCACTGACCCTGAAGCCCCAGTGGTCGGAGACCTGCCGGTTCAGGTTGAGGTCAAGCTCGGCGATGAGCAGCCCATCGTTCATGCGTCCCAGGCTCGGCGTGCGGCTCCCGTCCGGCGCTGCCACATAGCTCGAGCCGTAGAAGTGGCCGAACTCGCAGTGAGCTGCGGTGTGCGCATGTGTGTGCACAACACAATGAAGCGTTAATAACGTCTCTACGCATTTTGAGAGGGCACTGCATCGGAGATGTTTCGACCGTTGATATTCTATGGAGTGTTTTTAATGCAGAGGGAAACTGGAGTGCTCAGATATAAAGCCCACACATATGAGGTTGACAACACTTAAAGTCCGTGCAGTGTTGACCTCTCCAGGCCACCAGTTGCACAAATTGTACACGATTCACTGACCTTGAAAGACAGGAACGCACAACCATGCCAATTTAAGAGATTTGCAGCCATTTTGCACTTGAAATAACATTCTGAGTCAAACATCTACTCTTACCGACTTTCACGCATGCTGTCGAGGGGAAGCAAAGAGAGGGAGTGGATCATGGAAGACTGGGTATAGCAGAAGGATGTACCATGAACACGGTTTGTCGGCAGATCGTAGGGAAGGATAGAGGAGGGGCCGGATGGTATGGAAATGAAAACGATAGGTCCGTGCCCAGTATTTTTTTATTTGCGAATTGATGTGGCGTCTAATGGCACACCCAGGGAATGGTAAACTGCAGCAACACCGGGGGGCATTGCTGCATTTGAGAAGGAGCCTACAATTTCAGTGGACAGATTATATTGTCAAGCGTAGATTTAAAGACAGCCATGGGCACCGTCGTTCCCATCGTTATTTCTACAACGAAAGTAAGCTCCCTTTGGCTGCACCGTCTCATTTGCAGGGAAGGCCCGTGCCATCTCATGAAAACAACGATAACAACATCTACTTCAGCAGGAGAGACAGCAAATAGAGGGTGATCCATTTAGATACCCCAATGATTTGTAATATTGAAGCCATCTTTACTCCGTAGCAACAGGTAATTTAATGTTGCGATTCAATGCATTAGACAACATGCATCGAGAGTGTGCTGACACTTTTTATAACGGAGCCATAGAGACACGAACACACAGACATGGAGACACAAAGACATGGACACACACACATAGACAGAGATATGGAGACAAAGACAATGGGATACTCACACAGACATGAAGACACTCGTGCAGTGGGGCGAAGATCAAGCAAGCTCGAAAGTGTGTGCTGTCTAGTGGTCAAGGTTGAGAAGCAGTCCTGGAAGAGCATTTTGGCCTACTCTTCCATGCTAGCCAAAAGTAATCGGAGAGGTGGGACTACCCACGTTTTACCCCACCACACGTGACCTGCCGACCGACTGTGTTGTACCCATTTATACTGCTGGGTGGAGATAGGTGGTGGGAATTAACAAACGTGAATTAACATATTCTTGGTTCTTTCGGTAATGTCAAGAATATGAATCCCTGCAGTCATGAAAGCTTTAAATCGTGAATTAATATAGATTTGAAGTTTTCGTGACTGCAAGGATTCATACTCTTTGTTTTTTTTGGTAAAATCACGTAGGTAAAAAATTAAAATAAATTAAATCACGACAACTTAGCGAAAGCACACCGCTCAAGTGAAAGCCGCTTAAGCGGTGTTGTACTTTCGCTAAGTTGTCCCCACCTGAAGAAGGACGCTTGTGTTGCACCCGAAACGTCGTGATTTAATTTATTTAAATTTTTTACCTACGTGACTTTACTGAAAAATCCAAAAAGCGTGAATTAACATGTCTATTCAAAGTGTCACTAGAGTACTACTGTATTTATATACTGCAATGTGTTGCATTGCAATACATGTAGTCGCTCATCAAGCTATGGATTGACAAACAGGACTAGTTCATGGCCATCCCATTAGAATGTGGAATTTCTGTCTGTGCGGATAAGCCTTGCTCTCTCTCTGTTTCAAGGCAGCAGGCACTTTGAATTGAATATTAAAATCGCATGCACGCATACACATCAATTCTTTTAACACATCAACCGTGCATATATTCATCACAATGTATTTATATTCATTACACATTTAATATTCATTAAATACATTCATACATCCAGGAAATGCATTACTCTCTATGGTACTGAATATATTATTATACAATACTGTGCGCAATTTTTATCCGTACATAGGAGAGGAGCAGTGACACGTACTGCACTATACTCCTGATAGCCTGAGTGTGACTCCTGGGCCGTGGCTAACACAAGCAGCAGGGAGTGCTATCTCAACTTTTCCTAAGCCACCCTCCTCAGCTATATAATCCCTTGTCAGAGCCATCTCTTTGGCATACCTCAGCAACTGTTTTCGCTGTTGGCTGTCCCTACATGATGACGGACGCTTGTGTTGAGCACGAAACGTCGTGATTTAATTTAGTTATTTTTATTGTATTTTATTATTTTTTTATTTTCACCTACGTGACTTTACCGAAAGAACCAAAGAGTATGGATCCTTGCAGTCACGAAAACTTCAAATCTAGAATTTTCCTAAGCCCCCCCACCAACCCTTCACCAAGCATCACTGACCAGCGTGCTGAACCATGGTCATACGCCCCTTGACCAACATGGTGTAAGGAGGCCTTCATCCAGCAGTGGAATGACTAAGAGTTGTAAATCACTATTACAGAATGTCTTTATTATTATGATTCATACACTGTTGCTTGCCTCTACGGGTTTTATTGATAGGGTTAACTTGGGTTAAGGTTCGAGTTTAGGTATACCAGATTTAATTTACACACCACACCGATCACAATTTGCTTTTTTTTAAATCCTTTATATTAAGTTCACTTGCTTGCTTGCTTGCACGCTTACGACCGTGCAAATCTTTCGGTCGTTTTTTAACCCACTTCCCGTGATCCAATCGAGCTGACATTTTGCACACAGACTCGTTGTGCATGACAATTTATTGTCGTGCAAATTTTTTTCCAAAATTTTCCACTTTTTAGGAAGAAAAAAAATTCATATTTAATTTAAAATACCAATGTGATAAAAATGAAACTCTTACTCAAGAAAAAGCAGAAATGAATAATAAAATAAAACCGTTGCCACGCATATAAAGGATTTATAGTGAAAAACTTTGTTTTTATGGGTTCATTTTTTACATACTCTATATTCATCAGTGTACTCCGTCTTAAGACGAATCAGTGGGCCCAGGTGCACGGCGCTAAATTATGTCACCCGCTCGCTATGTCCCACGCCCAAATGAGTTACAAATTTGCGACTTATCCCTAAACCCTTCATCCAAGATGCATGAAACACTTTTTTTTTATATACAATAACACATCTAGTGTACGTAATTTTCTATTTTTGATTGACTGTTATCATGCTGACAAACACTGCAACAATTAAGTAATTAGGATGGTTTATTAAGTAAAAACATAACGGAGGTTGGATTTGAACCCGTGACCTTATGACTGCTGCCGTCCCTTTGTGGCGAGGGTTGTAATACATTTATATATTTAAAATTATTTTAATTTAATTAAAAGTTAAAAAGAGGGGGGTCTATAGGCCTTGACGGTACTGAATTAAGCTCCAAGCTCCAGTCAGTGACAGCTTCTCCACTAATTATTTCTAATTAGCTGCGCAAGTTAGAAATAACCGGCGTTTCCGGGCTATATAACTGCTACCTGTCCCGCGGCCCCAAAACTTTCAATGCATTTTTTTAATTCTACAATTATACATCTAGTTTATTTTTTTTGCATTTTTATTTCATATTATCATGCTGTTAAACACTCCAACGAATTACTAAATATATAGGATTGTTTAAGTGAAAAAATAATAAGTTATAACGGAGGTGGGATTTGGACCCACGACCTCATGACTGCCGCCGACTTGTGGCGAGGGCTGAGTATTGCACCCAGCGCTTATTGTGAGCCCCGTAGTGTCTTCACCGCAGTAGAGGATTACTGTAATACTTAAATTAACTTTCATTTCATATGTGGAGACTTATACATGACATAGCATGTGATACTGTAACGTATCTGTGTTTGTATATCATATTAGAGCTTTGGCAGAGTAACTGTAAAGCTAACAAACTCTATGACAGCGGTGTGGGAGTTGTCATAATTTTTAATGTTCTAGCTAATATTTGTATAACTTACTATAAACACAGCAACAAATGTCACCCGCCACGGATGTTATCCATGACCAGGAATCAAACTCGGGTCGCTGAGTTAATGTCGCAGCGAATTAACCATTGTGCCACCACTCTTCAACAGCCAATGACTCACGTTTATGATACTTGACATCGTTTTCACAACAATCATTTAAAATTCCACGCTCTGTATTTTCTACAATCTTACTCAATCACGCATATGTTTCAGCAATGTAATAACAACCCCAAGTTTCTGTGAGAATATAAAAATGCCTGAATGCTTTTAACGCGTCCGTGCTTGGCTTTAGCCAGGCAAGAGCCCTCGAGAAACATGCCCCGTCTCTCGCACGAGAATGTCCTCCGCTCATGCAAACCGCTCATTTTTTAAAATCCTTTATATTAAGTTCACTTGCTTGCTTGCGTGCTTGCTTGCTTGCGTGCTTGCTTGCTTGCTTACGACCGTGCAAATCTTTCGGTCGTTTTTTAACCCACTTCCCGTGATCCAATCGAGCTGACATTTTGCACACAGACTCGTTGTGCGAGACAATTAATGTTCGTGAAAAAAAATTCCAAAATTTTACACTGTTTAGGGAAAACAAATTAAATATTTAATTACCAATTGCTTAATACTGACAGACAATCATCTGACCCATAGGTGGCAGCCATCTCAAGCCAGAGGACGAGAAGACTCTAGCCGCCACGCATATAAAGGATTTATAGTGAAAAACTTTGTTTTTACGGGTTATACTTATTCTCTTTCCTGTCGTCCAAGCCTCCGACTCCCTTCTCTTCCTCCGTGAACTCTCACTGTGGTCATGCTTTTTGGTGCTGTCTGTCAGACCACGTCGTCCCTTGAAAAAAAGCTTCTTAGCTCTACAGGGCTCTACTCGGGAAATGCATTTCTAATGAATAATAATTAACAACAATTTACATTTGTAAGGCGTATTTCATCCAAAGATCCCATGGGGGCGGACGCCAAAGATACGCTGAGAACAATTACGTGGATTGTGTAACATTGAAGCCACAACGGGCGCATGTTGAATTGTAAATGAGTTCCCAACTTTTTACAGGATGCAATGCAGTTGTTTATTGACGCTGCTGATGAGACGCTGTGTGTCGTAGCCGGTCCAGAGTTTGATTGTCTTCAACAATGCCGCTGAAATTATGCACTCCGAGAAAGCCTTGTGGTGGTCGAGACGTATAACATAATACTTTTATATCTACTATGTTTATGGTTGTATGAGGATATTTATTGTCTGCTTGTTAATGTTGATGCTTCAGTAGTGTATGAGATTGTACGATACATATAGAAGCTTTTAATAAAAATGTCTTCATTGCCCACCGATTATTTTAGTCGAAGATCTATAAATGGATCGCCCGATATTAGTGGCGTCCTTGTGACAACTTTTCCTGCAGTTTCTGAGTCGGGTCACTAGAGGGGGTTATGGGGCCTCTGGAGGGAGTCTGCTAAGAACGTCAGGGCACTCCCAAGCAAAGACACAAGCAAATTAATAATACTAAGGGCATAAACTATCATCGCATGAATTAAAAGCATGTTTAAAAAAAAGTTTCAAACCCAGCCGACCACAGGTTTTTTTTCAACTCGACAGCCATTTAGTCTGCAAGCATGTGCGGCCAGGGTTAATATTTGACAGGATTAGTGAACAAAGGAATTCATCAACGAAATGTTTATTTTTTTATTTTAAGCAATGCTGAATGATATTATTGGTTCTTTCGGTAAAGTCACGTAGAAGGGAAATAAAAAAAAAATCTCACGACGTTTCGACTGCAACACAAGCAATCGTCATCAGGTGTGTTGCAATCGAAACGTCGTGAGAATTTAATAGTTTTATTTTTATTATTTTATTATTTCCCTTCTACGTGACTTTACCGAAAGAACCAAGAATATGAATCCCTGCAGTCACGAAAGCTTTAAATCGAAATGTAATGCTGAATGAGTGGATGACACTCATTGAAGTGTAGCGGATGACTTCCCACTGAAGACCAAAGCAATGAATAAGACAACATTAATGAATCTGACTGACTTAATTAACAACGTGAGTGGAGACTGCCATGCGACCAAGCCTCCCGCAACTCCGTGCCACAGCGGTTACTTTACACTTTCATCATCGCTAATCGCAGTGAACACGTGGCCCCATGATAACTGCTCTGCTTTGATTTTATTACACCGCCGCAATGCACCGCACATGCAAGCATTGTAAAACACATTTTAATCTATGACATTTAAACATAGAATTATTGATTATCGTGATTGTAAAGTGCATACCTTCCTTTCCATCTCCAGATGTGAAGGCATTTGGAAAGCACTCCTGAAAAAGACAATAATAATTAGCCAATCTCACAGGTGGGGGGTGAAATAAGGTGACCATGTATTTATGTTTTGCGTAGTGTAATTATGAGTAAAAACGTTTACAGTTAATCGACAATTTGGTTTCCAACATGCGAAGTTGAAGTCACTTATAAAACAATGAAATCAAATAATGTCAGTATATTACAGATTTCTTTTTCGAATTTTGTTTATTACATTTTACGACTGGAAATGATGTTGTGTGTGGTGGTTAATATAATTACATGCTTATTTAATTATGAAATGCCTCTGTTCATAATAATTCCCTTTCTTCTAAACACGTGGGCTTTCTCGGGTGTACGTCACAATGTTGGCAATGTACTCACGCGATCTGACCCAAATGTAAATTACGAATCGTAGCATCGGTCGCGAAAGCCTACGTAGTAGATGTACATTCAAGGTGAGTTGGTCGCGGCCAAATAAAAATACATGGCAACTACCAAAGTGTGCATTGTGCTCATTTATATAACACAATAAGGCAGGTTTTCGTCGCTTGTATTTTATTAAGAGCTCAGTAGTATGTAGAGAAAAATGTTGTTCACTCAACACGAACATTTATTTTGACATTTAAAAAAATATGCTGATGCGTACCGTGGTAGAAACATTAATTACGTAGGATTTTAACTTAACGTTAGTATGTATGTTTTGTTAATTCTAATTTTCAAACACTTTTTTGGTCTGTCAAAAATAATACGTGACTTTTGGTTCGATAAGCAGTTAGATAGGCCGAATTAAATGCACTTAGGGGGAAAGTACAACTCCTTATGTGCACATACCATCAACTTCAACCTCTATGACGACAATTTCTAAGCACGGCATTTAATTGACAGAAAAAAACGCAATTGCATCTTTTTTTTTCCAGAAGGCAGATCCATCGTTAAAAAAAAAAACCTTTGTCAATCAATAAACCTGAACATCCCAATGAAGCCACAGCAGAAATTGCGGGCCCATTCAATGATCCACTAAAACAATGTTACATTCAATTAATCTGATTTACGTTATAAAACGAGGAAGCTTTAAAATCAGTTTGCGAATCAGATTGGATAAATTTAATAATGAATGTGCATCAACAATAATCATTATCCGATCCGGAAACTACAATTACAGGAAATGCTACGAGACAGCATAAGCCCAACATGATTTTTTCTCTCTTTATCTGCAATACGCTACAGAGTAAAATTAAACTAAGCATTTTTTTCCTTCTATTAAACACTGTGGAAGCAGCCTCTGTCGCAAAGTGACTGCACAATACTTAAAAGGGTAAGGATTTGCATTTGTCAGGCATTTAAATGTCCAAGCAACTCCAAGCACCTTACATCACATTTCATGTCAACCAATATGAATCCCCGATGCAGTCTAGCCAAGGGGACCCCCATCGGCAGCTGTCACAGTGTGGCACAACGTGCACACGGCACCCAGCTGAACATGTGCATTAATCTGCCAGTAGGGGTGATGTTGCCACGTGATTATTTTTAGACAATTTAGTAATTTGCAATTATTAAAAAAAATCTAATTTGGACAATGATGCCAGCTCTTTTTCGAATGACATCAAGGAATTTCGATTTAAAGCTTTCGTGACTGCAGGGATTCATCTTCTTGGTTCTTTCGGTAAAGTCACGTAGAAAAGAAATAATAAAATAATAAAAATAAAACATAATCAAATAATTCTTACGAAGTTTCGGCCACAACGCAAGCAGCCGTCCTCAGGTGAAGACCAGCTCTGGCGGGGAGACAGCGTCTGAATGGTTTTCACCTGAGGACGGCTGCTTGCGTTGTGGCCTAAACTTCGTGAGAATTATGTTATTATATTTTATTAATTATTATTTATTATTTCTCTTCTACGTGACTTTACCGAAAGAACCAAAAAGATGACATCAAGGAATATTTACCATCCACTGTGAAGCAGATAGCACGTATTAATGGTTAATACACCCACAGTATTAATCAGGGCGGCCACCGGGCTCGAACTGCAAACCTCTGCAAACAAGTAGCAAACGGGCTACCGCCATATCAGCACCGAAGCACCAATGCCGATCAGCAGTGACTACAATGCAACACAATTAACATCACACTAAATTAAGCACACAAACCAAACTAAATATGGGCATGGGTTGAAAGACAACCTTACCCTTTGACCAAGGCATTTTTTCCCCCAATTACGTATTGTGTTGTTGTCAAGTCTTGAAATGAATGCATTTCTAATTGGCTCTCTGCAGCGGCTAGCATTGTATCATCTCCCTGTCAAGAGATCAGACCGGGAATATGACATTACTTATTTTCTCGAGTCACTTCAAGAGGCTTCTATATCCATACGTTTCAAGGCTTCCCACAGTGTTCGCCACATGTCGCAGCGCTAATATGATGGGGATTTTTTTGCGTGCAAGATATTGGTGGCTGGACTGAGACAATTAGCTCGCTACAAGCTGAGAACCAGGATCAATCTTGGGCGGCTGGAACACAGACTCGACCTCAAGAGCTTAGCTGTGCCCACGCCGTCCTCCGAGCCACACGGTCACCTTGACCGAAGCATCATTGTAACTCCAGTACGATGTTGCTTTAGTAGGTAGAGGTTGGATTGATAATGGCTTGACAGTGAGGTGGGTCCGGGGGGGGGCGGAGATGGGGCCGCATGAGAAAATAATGACATAGTCGATCATGTGATGGTAGCAGAGCGCATCTATGCGTCTTCCAAAATTGACAAACGTGTCGAAATTACTTGGCTAGCAATCAATGAACGTTTAACCACTTCCTAAAAAATATCATCTTATGAAAAGCGCAGCCAATGCAGCCACACACACACACAGTGCTGCGTCTATCTCTCGCCATTGTGAATTCCCGCACGGACATGGGAACGGCAAAGCCAACGCTGGTGGACGTCAGCTCAACTTTGACCTCTGAATCCTTTAAATCCAGAGCAGGCCTGTAAAGCTCAGGACCCCGGGCGGTCTGGAGTCTGGCAGGCTCACCGTTCCGACGCGGTTGATGGCGCAGGTGAAGTAGTGGTTGGCGATGGCAGCGTTCCTTGCCTCGATGGCCCACAGCGGCTCACTGTGGAGATTCAAATGCAGTGATTCAATACGTGTTTTGCTTTGGCGTTGAAACCCTTATAAATCCGTCAGAGATACCACGTAGACTGATGTCTATAGTGGTACAAATGTAGTGCAGCAGTGCACAGATTCAGAGAGCACACTGAGATTACGCTTTTAAAAATGCAGTAATACAAAATTACATTATATAGGCAGCGTTTTGGGAAATTTTAAGTCAAGATCTGCTTTGCCCAAAATGTTGTCATCCACTTTTCCTTTTATGGTAGTGTTATAGACTAATAGATTGAGTTTGTGTAATATGTGATTTGTGCTCCAATGCCAAAGTAGATCAACACTTTTTTGGGTACATTTTATATTCATATTCTTGGTTCTTTCAGTAAAGTCACGTAGAAGGGAAAAAAAATTCTCACGACGTTTCGATTGCAACACAAGCAATCGTCATCATGTGTGAAAACCACAGCAAGAAAATTTATTATTTCCCTTCTACGTGACTTTACCGAAAGAACCAAGAATATGAATCCCTGCAGTCACGAAAGCTGTATATCGAAATGTAACATTATATATTGTGGAGTGATACTATATTATATACTCTAAAGAACTAAAACATGATGTACAGCCCCTTTTGTCATTCCACTGCTGGATCATAATCAGAATATGTAGTTGGGTGGGTAAGATCATTACAACAACAAACAATACAAACACGTGATAGGAGTGCCTGCCCATGCCATGTCATCATGGGGGATGATTGACCATACTTCACCACGCTGGGCAATGCGGGTTGGTGAAGGGGCGGAAGCCCTGGTATCACTCGCCACCGATATTAGCCTTGGCCCGGAATGAAACTCAGGTTGCCAGGTTCATAGCGCAGTATGTTAACTGGAGCGCCAAGCGCTCTAATACAAAATTAAGATGCCGGAATTATTGAAGCTCTGTTGATTCATCTTTCCTTGAACACTAAAGGTCAGGCTGATATTTCCCTAACCTGCAACGGATTTTAAGGGCAACTGCAGAGTCGAAAGATGAATGGCTCAACCTTACAGACCACCATTCATCTCCACTCTTACAACAAACAAGGGTTTATGGAAAGGGGTCTTACGGATTAAACCATTAAAATGAAACATCAGAGCCCTGTGATAAAAAAAAAATTGTATCCATGCACTTTTCATGTTTGTTTGGAATGAAAAATAATTTCTCATTTCACAGCGGCATTCCAGTCGGATCACTACTTCATTCTCTGGCGACACGCGGAGATTTGAAACAAGAACGCTTTGCAGCGCTGGCAGCGCACGATGTCAGCCGCCGCTCGATTAACACGCTCGGCCACGCGCAGTTCGTCCCCTGAACGAGGCACGTGAGCTCGGCCTCCCCGAATCCATCATCTCGAATGTCGCCCAATGAACGACACAAACGCAACAGCAGGTGATCGTCATCGAACACGTTAAGTTCATGGATTGAAATGCCTTTGTCTCGACATGCTATTAGGGTGCCTTTCTTGGTCGTGTTTGTGCAGCAGTCGTAAATGACTTGACATTCTTCGTACAATACTGTTGAGTAAAGTACAACGTAAGAATGTGTTTATAATAAATGGGAACTGGAACTGTAGCTTTGAATTGTGAGACGAGTAAGCTGTGCATACGTCACAGTGGAAACTGATACACGGTTTTTCTCACTCGATTACATTGTAATGTCCTTAAACAGCATTAAATTAGTTTCATGATATTTCTTGAATGGAAATATGGGTAACCATAACTGTAAGTGGACAACATGAAAATATACGGTAATTGTATTCTTGGTTCTTTCGGTAAAGTCACGTAGAAGGGAAATAATAAAATAATAAAAATACAACAATAAAATTCTCACTACGTGACTTTACCGAAAGAACCAGGAATATGAATCCCACGAAAGCTTTAAATCGAAATACAGTAATTCATTTAAAACGATGCAAGTCAAAGGGTGCAGTGGTGGTGCAGCGGTTAGCACAGTGGTTAGCACACTGCACTACAAACTCAGCGAACAGAGTTCAATTCCCGACCACGGCTAACATCACTGGAGTGGGGTATTATATCCTGCCCCTTCACCTACCCCATGGCTTGACCAACCCATACTGATCAAGCGCAGTGAAGCACGGCCACCTCAATCCCCACAACCGAATCGGTTTGGGGAGGGCTTTATTCAGCAATGGCTTGACAAAAAGGGTTGTAAATTGGTAATGAAATAGGCAAGTAAAAATGGAGGCAAGTTTCAGGCTAATGATGTCAAACGCACATCGAACCAGCCTCATTTGTGTCCACACCTACAAGTCTTCATGCCTCCATCACTTGTATGCAAGCGCAATGGGCCAATAGATTTACTGGCTTGCACTGAGGGGCTTAAAATGACGCATTGACTTTCTGCCACTCCTGATTGATCATTATGTCAGAGGAGTTAAAAACCCGCTGATCTATCTTGGTTTAAAAAAAAAAAAATCCAAGGCCCTTTTTAGTGTTGAGCGGTAAGGTATGAGCTCGGAAGTTCGGATGCAGTGCATCTGATGAAACTCCATCATCCCGCGGCTCATCTGTCTGACATCACCTCCGGCACGTGTCTCATTCTTCACTTACCAACGGGGTTATATTGTTTGTTTCATTATCTCACTATAAATCCTTTGTAACAGTGAGTGCATCAGAAACATTATATGCTGCGTAAATGCAGGCTGTAACCTATACGTTATTAAATCGCCATGCGTGCTCATTTTTTACAGCGATAAAATGTGCAGCACGCAATAATCATCAAGTGGTTTCGTTGAAAATCACAGACCTATTGTAGGAAATGTATACTCAGTGGCATTAATACGAATGCTGTAATTATAAACACAGTGAAGCGTAGGTGTTCGTGTGACTCTCAACGTGACAACAACAAGTGCTTCTTCTTGGTTCTTTCGGTAAAGTCACGTAGAAGGGAAATAATAAAATAATAAAAATAAAAATTATAAAATAATTCTCGCGACGTTTCGGCCACAACGCAAGCAGCCGTCCTCAGGTGGAGAGCAGGTCTGTCGAGTAGATGTTCCACTGAGAATGAATGACTCTGTCTACTCGACAGACCTGCTCTCCACCTGAGGACGGCTGCTGGCGTTGTGGCCGAAACGTCGTGAGAATTATTTTATTATGTTTTATTTTTATTATTTTATTATCTCCCTTCTACGTAACTTTACCGAAAGAACCAAGAAGATGAATCCCTGCAGTCACGAAAGCATTAAATCGAAAAACAACAGGTGCTATTCGTGTGGGGCTGTGAGAGCGCGAGGTGGCCAGTAGATGCCAGTAAAACGCCGGGTGCGGTCCACAGATAGATTTGCTCTTCTCACTGAATTCCTGTCTGTCTGTGGATTATGAATCTAGATCGAAAACTAATTTTCTTAGAACTGCTTTTTGCGTTGGGTTCGTAGTTCTTCCCCCGCACCACCGATTAGAACGGTTAGCTGTGTACAGTGCAAAAGAAGTTCAACGTACATAAGTGGCATTTTGAATGTGTGGGTTTTTTCCACGTACCCCTATTTTTTCCCACATAATACCAAACACTCATCAATGTAATGGCCAAATATTCCAATATCGGACCGTCCTGAGATTCATCCAGCAGTGGCTCCATCGTGCCCAATGATGAATTAGAATTGCGGTATTGTGTAAGGGAAGCATTCCAAATTAAAATAAAGGCTTAAACAGAAGCAGTGGAACATCTAACTTTTTTAGCTCGCACCCCATCGATGTGCTGCAAAAGGCATTTACGTCAAGCAGTTTGGTCTGTGTTTTAGACATAAAATCTGCACTTAAGTTAAATAGTCCATAAATCTATTTAATATGGGTTTATTGTGGAGGCAATGTGGCATCAAAGTTATCATGCAAAGCTGCTTCATGCACACTATCAGCAGGTGCTTGATGACCTAAGGCTTGAGATTTGTTTTAAAAAAACAATGAAAAATTAATGTTTTCAAGGCCTAGCAGGTATTTTTTTAGCTTGTTTGCATTTAATTTCAAGCAGAAAATAAAAGTGCAAGCATTTTTTTTTATCATTCCAACAAAACGACGGTGAGCATGCATTTTGTGAAGCTTTACCATGAGTGGAAACGTACAGTATATAATTATCGAGGACGATCATGACGACGGGCACAAACTTACTCCTCCTCCACGTTGATTATGAACTAATACGCTGTGACCTTATTTGACATCAACGGTGCTTATATCTCACATGCCCTGAACATACTACCACAGCAGCTTTCAACACGCATAAATATAATTCTAAACAAAAGTTTTAGTCAAACAACGCTGACTTTTCCACAAGTAAGATAAACTTGGCAGACGACCGTACACATAATTTCGAACATTCTCTCAGTCTGCACTGGATGGGGTTCAGGACAACACCCACACATGCTTGGTCATCAGGAAAGTTAAGTTGTCACGAGGGCAGCCTAGTAATATAGACACTCTGTGTGTATATATATTACACATACAGTAATTGTTCCAACCGTATTGATTTGTGTGAATAGTACCGCGTCGAGGAATGGAGAGAGAACGTTGACCGTAAAGACTCAGCAATGAAATCAACTCGTGTGCAGGTGCCACGTGTGTTTGTTTCATTTGTGTAGTGACATAAGAAGGGAGGGGCTGCTGGGGGCTCTGGGATCCCAGGCGAGTCCAGACGCTTAAGCCTCTGGGCGCCAGGCGCTGGGTTCCCAGGGGGTCCAGACGCTTAAGCCTCTGGGCGCCAGGCGTTGAGTTCCCAGGCGCGTAATCCCCTGGGCGCCGCCAACGGGGGGGGGGCTGTGTGTGCTCTGTGGGATGTCTGGTGGCGCACACGGCCCACCCCTCGTTGGACCAGGCATAAAAGGAGAGCTCTCTGGACGATCGGGGCCGAGTTGTAACTCAAGACCCAAGACCCACGACCAGCCATCTGAAGACCCTGGGATGCTGTGAGAGCCAGTGGTGGGACTCTGGAACTCCCGACGCTACGACCTTGTGAGGGCGAGTCCAGAGCGTAGCCAGAGTAGAGTATCTAGGCTGTGTAGCTAGGCTGTGTACCTAGGCTGTAACAGAGTATCAGGACTGTTGGAGTGTTGTGTTGTAATAAAGAAGTTACATCTACAAGTGTCTCCGGAACACGTTACATTTGCAACGCAGTGAAACATGGTGACGGCTTGGGTAAGGCCTTCATCCAGCAGTGAATTGATCACGGTTGATGATGCATGTATTTACTGTGTGTATATATATATATTTATGACCAAGTATTGGCTGGAAAGTTTAACTGTGAATGTGTTTTTTAAACATACATGCGTTTTCACATCAAGTTACAAGTATGTTATTTTTGAGCGTAACTGAATTCAGGGCCGACATTTGATGATGGCGTTACAAACCCAACTGGACAGTATTATTTAAGTGAATCCATACTCTGTAACAGGGCTATATATAAAGAGCTGTATTTGTCTGACATTGACAGTAATGAAATTAGAAAGCCAAAAACTCTCAGGCCACTTTATATAATTCTGTAAGAAAGTCATTTTAAAAATTGGATACCGCACAGCATGTGAGTAGCTGGGGAGAAAACGCCCAAGATGAAGTGGTTTGGTTCACAAGGAAAGATGAAGTCCATAATTTCGATTTCGTGACTGCAGGGATTCATATTCTTTGATCTTTCGGTAAAGTCACGTATAAGGGAAATAATAAAATAATAAAAATACAACTATACAATTCTCACGACGGCTGCTTGTGTTGTGGCCGAAACGTCGTGAGAATTGAATGTTAAATTATTATTTTATTATTTCCCTTCTACGTGACTTTACCGAAAGATCCAAGAATATGAAGTGCATAATGTTAACAGAAAAAACAAGGGACAGGAATAGATGGAGATCCAAGACTGTTGATGCCCAGATCAGGGATAACAAATGTTGATTACTGCTAGGTGGTGGCCTTATGACTCGGAGGTTAGACACACTGCTGATATCTTGGGTTCAAAAATTAGTGAGATGTTGCAATAATATCAAATTTATTCATTATGTGCATTCGACGTTCGAGTTACGATTCTCAGTGTAATACATATCAAAAAAAGGAAATCGACTAACGCGATGGGTTTATATTCGAAAAAGAATGCTCCAGCAGCATTTGCCGGACCACTGGAACTGCTTCACGATTTGTATGTTCATCTATATATCTAAATTATCTTAAGCCTCGCGTAAATTTGCGTGACCTCTGTGGCCACCCCCACTCTGAATCCCTCCCCTCTTCCCGCCCACTGTGAGAACAGACGCTGCTCAGAGCAGCATCGCCGAGGCCCTTTGGTCCCGTTTGGTCCCGTTTCTCTGTTCCCTTTCCGTAAGATGTCCTCTTATTTTCCATTTATTTCTCTTATCTCGTTCCTTTCCTGTTCATTTCCTATAAATGGCATTCTTGACTCTACTCCCCCTCCCCCTTCTTTCCAGTGGTGTGCGCCACCGGCACAAAATTTGCTTGTCCGTTTCTACTTCCCAACATGACTAACTTTCTTCCAAACTGTGGTCTCAGCAGCTGAGACATTTCCCCGAGTCCTGTCACTGACCGACCTTTCAGAGGTCAACCAACAAAATCGGGGGGGGGGCCAAACACAGAAAGTCAATCGACTGCCCGATTGTTGTGCCTTGTATTTCTGCCGTAGTTAAATATGTACACCACCTTAGGATCAAACAGCTGGTGTTTAAGCCAGCAGTGCCTGGATGATTTAAGAATGCTATTTATCTTCAAAGGAATGCAGGCTCCGTGTTAAATGGCAAAGACTCTATGTTGGTTTTTCCACCATAACTTGCCAGGATACAGTTTACTCGTATAGTTGCTGCACGACAACTAAGGTCATGAAAATTATTTCTGTTAGAGAAGTAATTTAAAACAACAACAACACTATCTTAAAGTAAGTTACATTTACCAAAAACAAAGGTGCTGCGAATATGTCTTTTATTATAATTATTTAATTTAACCCAACTTTATCCTTTATTGTTCTTTCGGCGTCATGTCACGAGACACAGCAGTGCAACTCTTCATGCTGAAGAACTGCCCATCGTGGTGGATATCAGTTCCCTCCGAGATCCCTAAAAAGTGGCCTGGTTCACACAGTAGAGGGCAGCACGTTCCCACCCGCTCTGCCACACGAGAGTAACTTTTGTCGCGAAAAACAGTCACATCGATATTCTGACTCTCAGAGCTGGGATTTAACCGAGTTAAGTACAGGATGACATTTAATACGATGGCTATTGTGGCCAGGCATTGGTGATCAGGCTGAGTATTTAGCTGCTATGAATTTGCACGTGTTAAGCCACTTCGTTGAGTTATCATTTGTGACCTGGTAAAATAAAAATAGTTTTAGTATAGTTTTTAGTTTGCTGACTACACTTTAGGAACCCTGTTAAATCACAGGCAGCTACCTGTATTCAAGCTCAGGATCTCAATAGTGCCAGATAATTGCTCTAACCTCTGAACCATGAGATCACATCAATAAAAAAACGTTAAAAAACGAATTTGCTCCATCATTCATGAAATGCTGGAGTCAATAACGCATGCATGTGCCAGAGGTCGCAAACGGGTTTTGATTCCTTACCCTTACCCGTACCCGGCCGCACTAGGGTCGCAAATGGGTACCCATACCCGTACCCAGCCGGGTACGGGTACCCGTTCCCTACCCGTACCCTACCCGAAATGAGTGACAAACGGTTACTCACCAGTGACTCACGGCCTACCCGTACCCGTACCCGGCCGCACCAGGGTCGCAAACGGCTACCCATACCCGTACCCGGCTGGGTACGGGTAGCCGGGTATCGGGTAGGGTACGGGTATCGGGTACCCGGTTGCGACCTCTGGCATGTGCTTCTTCTTGGCTCAATGTGGCCAGGTTGGTGGTGTTAAAGGTCAGATCTTGAGCTCACCTCAGCCCACCGATGGTGGCAGAGGGGTTGAAGACGATCTCGGCACCGTTCTCTGCGTACATGAGCCAGTTGAGCGGGTGATGGCGGCCGTAGCAGATGTTGACGGCGATGCGTCCGAACTGTGTTTGGAACACGCGGTGGCCCGTGTTCCCCTCCATGTAGTATGTCGACTTTGGCCGGCATGACCACCACCACGCAAGGGAAAGAGGTTAGAAAAGGAGATGCTCAGATCTTTTTTGTAAACCAGGAGAGAACCCACTGGGACTAAAAGTCTCGTTTATATGTTTGAAGTTTTTTTTTACAGTTTATATATATATTTTTTAATTGGTATCACATCATGGGGATGAATAATCTATTCGAAAATCCCACACAGTAGAATGCCCTCTGTATTAGAAATGACCCACCATGCCATATTTTCACAAAACTTCTGCAAAATGCCTCGTGACCTTTTTACAAAATGCACACAGTAGAGGGCGTGTGAAACCGATGTTTTTAATTCTCAGAGACGGAATTTAGCCAATCAAGTGCAAAAAACAACTTTAATAAGGAGGGTGTTTTTTTGTGTGTGCAGCCACTTCTGATTGGGTTGGGACCATCAATTTGAGAACGGTTTAAACACAGGCAGCTGCCTGGATTCGAACCAAAGTTCTCCACTAAATTTCTATATTCCAAGCAAAACCTGGATCATGAAATCAGTAAAGTACACATTGTGATATAGAGTCGGATGAACAGCACACGGTCAAAATAGGAAACTTAAAATGATCTTAAAACGAATGATTACATAACGTAAAAACATAAAGCAGTATAAAGTTTGCATTCTTTGTTATATTTCAGTGAGCTCATTTTTAATAGCAATTACCAACTAATGAATACAATTTCCCATAAAAAGCTACTGCAAGGGAATATTTTTTTAATGAAACAGACATATGCAATGCTGTTCTATAAGATAAATATCTTGGTAGAAATTCTAGATTTGAAGCTTTCGTGACTGCAAGGATTCATATTCTTGGGTTTTTTTCGGTAAAGTCACGTAGGTAAATTTTTTAAATTAAAATTAATAAAAGTAAAATAAAATAAAAATCACGACATTTCGGAGGCAACACAAGCTTCCGTCTTACAGCAAGCATGCTGTGACGGTTCCACCTGAAGACGGAAGCTTGTGTTGCCTTCGAAACGTCGTGATTTTTTATTTTATTTTTATTTTAGTTTTATTTCATTTAAATTTTATTTTTATTTCATTTTTATTTTATTTTTATTTTATTTTTATTTTATTTTTATTAATTTTACTTTAATTTTTTTACCTACGTGACTTTACCGAAAAAACCCAAGAATATGAATCTTGGTAGAAATAACAATTTTAATTTCAGCCATTAAATGTGGGCGCGTCTTAAATTGCAGCAGTGTAAATCGTCCAAAACGATGATATCCGTGAGCATTTGTAACAGGCCAATGATAACGCCGATTGTGGATCCTCATCAGCTCACTGCAACATATATCCCAAAGAGTCAGTCTCTATGCTCAAGCAATGAGGACTGCTCGTGATCACCGGTGGCACGAAGCCACCGGTGCGATGTAACAATCCGCTTAGCAGCTGCACACGAGCGGATTTCATCGCGCCAGCTCCGATTTGTAGACAAATTCTACACACGGCTAGATCACGAGGGATTTAGTTTTGAGACTATGACAAGGCATATATGTTCTCTAAGCCATGCACTTGTCTTTCCGTCTCTAAAGTGTAATTCCCGTCGATAGTCTGGGGTCCATGTAAGCACGATTCTGCGAGTGCTTGTTCGAGGAAAGGTCGCCATTCTGTACTTGGGATGATGCTGAGATGCCACCTGAGTGTATCCGCTATATACTTGGAATCCAAGTTATAGACATCATAACTATTATTGACAAAAGCAAGTTTGCTTGAACAGGAAAGGTCGCTAGCAGGGACGGTGACCAGTGGCCAAGATTAACAATGGAATGGCAGCTAAAGGAGGGAACACACCCGACATGTACTTGTACGTAGTTTTTCAAGATAGACGTTTGCATTGCAAAACCAAGACGGATGACGAGGGCTTTGGGAAGCCTTCATCCAGCAGTGGCTAGATCGCGTCTGACGATGATGAATCAAAAGGCATCGTATTCTGCAGATGTTACCTCGTTGAAGTCGCCGACGCGAGGGATGTGGTTCTTGCGCGTCTTGCCAAGCACGGCGCCAGAGTTTGAGATGACCACGGCCGTATTCCAGATCGTGTCGCCATGCACTTCATCTCTCTCCAGGATGGGAGACACCACCACCACATTGTATCGACGTGCCAGCTGTGACGTGATGCACGAGCGTGCCGCAAGGATTTGGAAGGAAAAGCCAGGATTTTTTTAAGGCATTGCAAAATTACAAAACGATGCATCTATCTCAAAGACAGCACGCTGCAACGAATGGCCAGTTGATTTTCTGGACACGAAAGGATTTTCCGATGTGAAATGACAAATGGATAGGCTTTGTTGTGTACGAATTGTTCGACATTCTTCCACATTCAGTGTAATCGGCATTAAGTCAAAGTAGTCTGAATATACTCGGAGGCAAGCACATGATCACGTTGTACCCTAAACCTCACTTTGGTTCCCAGAATACCTTGTGTTAGAAATGCTAAATTATTTAAAGTCACTCAGGAAAAAAAAAGTAAACTCATAAACAGTACAACGGCTATATTCTCCAACAGACGCACTTAAACGTCAATTCCATGACAAATAATTTCTCCAACTCAAAAAACTGCAGGGAAGAATAACAGTTTTTAAATTACAGCCCTTAGTCAATTCACGAATGAATCAAGGCATTCCCACGTCGCGTCGATCATGCGTGTTGTTTGACCATATTTCACCACGCTGAACAGGGCGGCTTTCTGCAAGATGGGGCCCATCACTTACCACTGATGCGGTGGCTGAAAATCAAACTCAGGGTTTATAGCGCAGTGCGCTAACCACTGCACCATGGCTCCATCCAGCAGCAAAAAAAAAATGATACTGAAATAGTATAATTTCATCGTGACCTTTGTTTATACTCGGGGGCAAACACATTTCTTCGGAGTGGGCAAGTAGGAACTTGGTTGGACAGCGCATTCGTGCACGACATAAAGCTCGCGGTCACGTGACACACTTCAACCAATCCGGGAACGTACATGTTTGGGAGGGGCTATAAACGACAGACAAATAATCCCTGGTGGGCAGTGTGGAACTGTTGTTCCTACCTGTATTCATTGTCCGTTATTACATGCTCCAGAGAAATGTTTGTCAATTGGTGAACGTTTCATCCACCAATAAAGAGTATCGACAAATAATCCCTGGTGGGCAGTGTGGAACTGTTGTTCCTACCTGTATTAATTGTCCGTTATTACATGCTCCAGATAAATGTTTGTCAATTGGTGAACGTTTCATCCACCAATAAAGAGTATCGATACTTAAACGTTAGACTTTCTTCGTGCAAGCAGTGCGCTGAAGAAACGTACACGCTGTTCATTAGGTGTACCTCCTGACAGAAGAGGGTGGTTGGTCCATCCTCGGCAGACTCGGCAAATTCAGTCCAAGGTAACCGCTCCCGGGTGCAAAACGCAAATGGCATGGCTGGAAAAAAAAAACATCAAAAACAAAGATCCCCTGTGCACCCTCTCACAGACCGTTGGGGCAGGTGCTGTTTTTGAGAGCCTATGAAGGCCGGAATGGCACACGAGGGGGAGATGTGGCCAACAGCACACGCGATCGCCTTTCTTTCCCCAGTGTTTAATTTAAGGCTGAGTTGACCTAACGGAAGCCCATAACCAGTTCAGATATTCAACTCTGATGTTACATGTGGCCAGGACTGAACTCGGGCCACCAATTTTCATAGCACCTCCGATCAGCACGGTTGGCTACGTACGGTGCGAAAGAAGTTCAACATAGATACATACATTACACAGTGCACTAAGCGGAGAAATGTACTTTCCCATATTTCCAACTACGGATACATTTTCAACACATGACAGTGAAATCAAATTGTTTAATTATCAATGCTGGAATTTCACCAACTTAAGTGAAAAATGTAATTTAATTGTTTGTTTTTTGGTGTACGTGCTGTCATTGATGACCAGACTGAGACCATCAACCCTTTTACTATTGAGAACCCAGTTTAATCACTGATGGCAACCTGGATTTGAACCCATAATCTCATCAGTGGCCGCTAAGTGCTCTGACCCCTGAGCCTCGCAGCCATCTCAATAACGAATTACATTTCCTGGCAGCATGGCATATAGTGCTCCTAATTCAGAGGAAAATTGTACACCACATTATGAAAAGTTGTATCATGATTTAGAAATGCAATGATATGCTGCTTGCAATCTGAAAGCATTAGTTTATGTCTACAAGTAGCATGTGGACAACTGATTTAGCATTCTCTGTAAAGGTGGCACGATACTCAAAAAAACCTCAGATATTCCAGCCGAGCTGGTTATTACTCATCAATGGCCTGAAACGTTCGGATGAAATAAGCCATAGAAACCAACATAAAACTGGGAGGTCATACCACCAAGCCCTCCTAGCCACTCACTCTGAAAATGTAATGGCCAAGCTGCCTGATGTACTGCAGCAAAAGCTGATTTACTGCAGCAGAAGCCACTGAGAGCCATGCTGAATATGCATGGCTCCCAAGTTATTGGATGGAAAGCTCCCAATCTATATGAATCCAATGATTGACATAGCTAACTTGAAGCAGGTCACCACTTTCCGCTGCCAATCGGTGCGTAAAATTGCTTTCCGTCCGCCAGTACAGATAGCGCGGTTCATTCGCTCGTTTCAGTGCAATCTCTGGCCTTAACCCTGCCAAAAAAGACTCACCTTTACCCTCAACCTCTGCCCTTGAGGCAGAATTGGTACCCTGACTTGGAGAACTGAGGAGAATCCATCAAAGGGTTTGCCAAATGAAAATGAATGTAGATCTCGCACATTCTTACGTCTCAATGAAAGGAAACATGCATTCTTCAAGTGCTGTGATTGGTCACACCCAATGTGAACATTCGTTTAGCCGAAATAATATGCGCAAAAGTATTGGTTTCGCAAATAAGCAGGATTCAACATACCTCAATCATGAACTAGTGCCCAAAACTTAACCCTAATCTTGGACTTGATTCTGAAATTAGTATCCATATACCTATGCTTATAATTTAAATATTTAATGTACCTCACATTTCCAGTATCAACAGAAGGTCATACACATACTAGTCACCAGAATCCATAACATTTACTCTACACCAGGGCTGGGAGAACCTACGTCCAATAGCCACATCAGGCCTACCACTTCAAAACGGCCTGCAAACGATAGTTATCCATTGCTACAATTGCCTTAGCCGCACAAATCTGATACTCGAGGGGCATATTTTCAACCTGGCCACACTGTTTCTCATTTTAGCACCTGAATGCAAGAATAATTATGAACTAATATTATTATTATTCGTATAAGCATCAGATGACGCCAAAGTGTCTGTTAATGCGAGGCCTGCCAAAGATATCAAAAACTCCTGTTCGACCTTTAGTACCAAAATATAATAATAGGGGTTTTCCCATTTTTTTGGCGGCAAAACTGAGACCTTTTTACAAGGATTAATGTCTGCAATGCATATATTATCATAGTGTGTTTTTTGTTTGCATTTTGACTGCAAGTATTGTGGTTAATGCAGACATGAATCCTTGTGGGGAGGTTTCAGTTTTGTTGCCAGAAAGGAGGGGAAAAACCCTATTATTATGTCTTATGGTTGTTATTGTTTGACTTGCATCATATTGGGATTTTTGCACACAGCGTTGTAATACAGTGTTTTTTTTTCTGGAAGATTTGCTGGTTTTTCCAGGATGTTTCTGTTGTGCGTCGTCGCTTTAAGATGTTCTCTGTTCATATTTTGTTTGTTGCGGTTGCATCGGACTCAAGAGCCGCATGGCTCACAGGGCTCTACACCTAATAAATAAAAACTTGAAACAGTAAAGGAAATTCTAGATTTGAAGCTTTCGTGACTGCAAGGATTCATATTCTTAGGTTTTTTCGGTAAAGTCACGTAGGTAAAAACATTAAAATTAATAAAAATAAAATAATTTAAATGTTTTTACCTACGTGACTTTACCGAAAAAACCTAAGAATATGCATAGTAAAGGAAATGTCGGTAACGTCATGTTACGTTGCGCGGCGAGTGATTCTGCCTGCGTGTCTCACTCCAGGCCTCCTGGAAGCAAACGATGTTCACCCCGCAGAGGGCGGCCGCCTCCACCATGCTCGCAAGACGCTTGTGCAATGCGGACACCTGCCAAGCACACGCACGCAGCACCCCCGCCAGGTACAGCAAGCACGTGAAAGGTCAACTCAATCCCACATTCAGACCCTCATACAATTTGCAATGCGATTTGTAGTTATACAGCATCTACATTCAATCACATATCTAGCGCTGTGCAATACAGGGGGAGCTGTGCATCACGGCGGCCTCCGTCATCTTTTGTTCAAGCGAACGTTGGATGGTGGTCATCTCTTATTTGTAATTCTAAGCCAGTGGTGGAAATTTAAAATACCAACAGGATGTTCTCAACAGATGAATCTATTCATCAATAAGGAAAAAAATATTCTTACATTCGCCATGCATCCACATGAGAATCACTAATGTTAGACTCATAGTTGGTGTATGTAATGGGTTTCGCCTTACCCATGTAGTCATTAGAGACCACTACATTTACCACAATGTAAAAAATAATTCATTCTCAATTTAAATCACGGCCCCAAATCGGAACATTTCATTGAATCGCAAGGGGTCACATCGGCCAGTCACCGAATCGGTTAAATAATAAAACGTAACACATGGGTCTTTCGCAAGAACTGAGGGAGCTTTCACCTCACGGCATGATTTTAAAGTGCAACTGGCCTCACAACATCATGGAGACATCACGGAAATGCATATCCCTTTTCCACTGACACATCTGAGCCGAGCCAGTGCAAATTTGCCATGCCAAGTCAGAACCAATCAGTTATACACTGGCCTGACACGACATCTGAATCTCGCTAGGGGCCAAGCAGGGCCAGGCATGAGGGGAATAACCCATTCATTGCGTGTAACGTCAAGTCAGTACACTGAGGACACAGTATCTACTTGAGTCTTGACATAGTCATTGCACGTGACGTCGACGGCATGGCTCGGCTTCTGCAGTGGAAAAACCTGGCGCTTCCTGACTCATGCCTGGTCGGCTTAGCAAGGCCCCCAGCGTGGCTCGGTTGTACAATGGGAAAAAAAGGTATCTCAGTTAACATTGGCTGAATTTCGATTTAAAGCTTTCGTGACTGCAGGGATTCATCTTCTTGGTTCTTTCGGTAAAGTCACGTAGAAGGGAAGTAATAAAATAATAAAAATAAAAATAATAAAATAAAATAATTATTATATTATTATTATATTATTTTATTTTATTATGTTTTATTTTTATTATTTTATTACTTCCCTTCTACGTGACTTTACCGAAAGAACCAAGAAGATAACATTGGCTGCTTCTGCTGATGCTGTTGTGGTCATCGTGTGGCTTGGGATCGTTATACCTGCTGAGCCACGGGTGCCGTTGTGGGCTCCACGATGTGGTTCTGCATCAGCCCGACGCGCACGAGACGGGGAGGCCGCAGCTGCTCGGGGGCGGCACCGATGGTGAAGGCTCGCAGCTCGAAGCCTCCCACCTCCGCCAGGCGCAGGGCTGCAACCGGGACATCTAGAGGCCTGGGTTGGATGCAACGCAGAGGTGGAGAGCGAGATCCGTTTAAGAACATTGCAGCTGATAATTGTTTTTTTAACCTTCTATCTGGCAACAAAACTGACACTTTTTTTTACAAGGAGTCATGTTTGTATAGACCACAATACCTGCAGCCATAATGCAAACAAAAAACATAACTCTGATAATATATGCACTGTCCTTGAAGTTGATTGGTCCACACCCAAGACAGCTTTCCTTAGAGTCTAGTCTCACATGGGTTGTCAGTTTTGTTGCCAGATAGAAGGGTAAAAAAACTATTATCATATTTTTTTACTGGCAAATGAGGTTCCAATGGCGTAAACATTGCAGCTCTCGAAAGTTTCCGTTACACGTTGTTCAATTTGAACCCGTAAGAAAGAGGTCGATCAGAGAGCATGCCAGAGTTAAAGACATTTATGCAAACCGTAAGAAAAGTAAGTGGGCTTGCACACGCCGTTAGGAAGGGACAAAGTCTGGTGATCACAACTAACGATGGAGTGGAAGCCAAAGAAGGAATGCACCCCTGAGGATGGCCATCAAGGGCAGGAAGCAATGAGATTGGCTCGTTTGCAGATGCTCTGGATTTTTGCATTGCATGACTGTAATGGATGGTGATGGCTTGGGGGAGGCATTCATTCCGCTGCAGATAGAGCATGGCTGATAATAGTTGCAAGGCGGATAAGGGGTAAGAGTACTTGACCGGAACTGCTGATTGCCGTGTTCAATCCAGGTTTCCGTGACCAGTAATGTTGACCACTAACGACTTGTAAAAAAACCCCTCAAATTAACTTTGATTTTCACGTAATTTTGCTAAGTTTCAGCTCTGATAATTAAATAAACACTGGGTTGACTGACGTATAAGACAAATATTTATCTGTAGCAAGGCACCTGGGAAAGTGTTTAGATGACAAAGTCACGAAAATCTGCTTCCGTGGGCCATTTCCAAACCTGTGCGAGAGTTCTGAATTCTTAGTCTCGTGACGTGATGCTCATAACACAACTGCAAAAAACTTGATAAAAGGGAAAAAAATATAAACATATATTTTACAAACCACGTAACTGGATGAGCATGGGAAAAAAACACTTGTCGGTATATTATGCGTTGTTTGCTTATAAATGTGTTTGTAATTTACTGCACTGCCTTTAAACGTGGTGCTGCAGTAGAGGGTCTGACTCACAGATTTGAGATGAGTGCGAGTTAAATGTACATCGGTAGACGATTCAGCCCATCATCCCGACAGAGTCATGAAAAATAATACCGTATCACTTCGTGGTAAAACAACAGAGCTCCTGTAACAACAATCCCTGCGATGGATATGTGGACTATACACCACGGGCTCCGAATCGCTATGAATAATGAGCACTGTCCAATGTTCATTTGGACATTAACAAGCTTCGAGCATAAATGTTCCTTAAAATAAATTAAAACATATCCACTCCATTCAGCATAGTTAAAAATTGTCTACGGTTACATCAACATGATTAAGCGTAATAATACGGTTTTCCCCTTTTTTTCTGGCAACAAAACTGAAACCTTTTTACAAGGATTCATGTCTGCATTAACCACAATACTTGCAGTTGAAATGCAAACAAAAACACACTGCAAGTATTGTGGTTAATGCAGACATGAATTCTTGTAAAAAGGTTTCAGTTTTGTTGCCAGAAAAAAGAGGGAAACTCTATTATTATATTTTGGTACTGTCAAAGGAGGTCTAATGATGATGATGATTAAGTGTGTCTCTAAAATAAGCATAAGAGAAGAAAATAATTCTTATCAAACTGGCCTTTGATTTGCCAGTGAATGTTTGACAGCACAATGGCTATCTTCACTGCTGACCAGCAAAAACAACAGTTACCAAGGCTTAGAAAAATGTTCTGCTTAGAAATAATGAATAGATGTAATAAAATCAATCACGTGCAATGCAGTGCGACACTGGTTAGTGCACCGCACTATGAACCTGGCAAACCAGCGTTTGAAACTCAGCCCTGGTTAACATCAGTGGCAAGTAATACTTGAGAGAGTCGTGGGCCACCCACCCCATTGACCAACCTGGACTGACAAGCAATGGTAAAGTATGGTCCTACAACCCCCATTACAGATAACTTGTGGAGAGGCCTTCATCCAGCAGTTTATTAACAAAGAGCTGTAACGTCATTATCACTACGTAATACACAAACACAGATATTCTGGGAGGGTTGTTCTATTTCGATTTAAAGCTTTCGTGACTGCAGGGATTCATCTTCTTGGTTCTTTCGGTAAAGTCACGTAGAAGGGAAGTAATACAAATAAAACATAATAAAATAATTCTCACGACGTTTCGGCCACAACGCAAGCAACCGTCCTCAGGTGAAGAGCAGGTCTGTCGGGAAGACAGCGTCTGAATGAAACACCACCAGGCTTGGAGCGTATATTTAAGCTGGGTTGGAGGGGGAAGAGCGCCTTGATAAAAGAATTTGCATATCAAGAGGAATTTAGCATATTTATGGGAAATGCAGATATGGGATTAGTCACTACTTGTGAAATGCGTAGGAGATGGGCCGGGGTTGTTCTAGACAGCGTGCACAACAACAAGGAGCAACCTCTCCTTTCATACAGTCACTGATTGAGGGGCTGTTCATGACTTAACTCGTTGGCAATACATTGCAAGGGAGATGTGTGTGAACATTGTTAAAATTGCACCGTTAAATTTGTAATGTTTTTCAAATGTATGTTTTTTTGGGGGCAATAAGCCCATCATCTCTCCAGGGTACATTAATCCTGTCCGTGGAAGTCGATCTTGGCCATCCTATAGATAAGCCTGTTTCCCCGCATAGGAATGTGGAAATTACATCAATAACGAAAGCATGCAGATGCCCTTTGATTTTGCCCAGAAAAGCCGTGCTGCCAATTCCAACATGAAGTTTCATCGCGAGTTCGTCTGCGCGGCGTGTGCAATTCACTTTAACGTGCAAAAAAAACTCGACGCGACTGCCATTGCAATAAAACAAATTCCACAAGTTTATGTCTGAGTGTGGGGATTTGTTAAACTTGAAAGCAACTGCACTCAAAGCGTCAACATACATCAACTCTCAAAACAAGTCAAAAGTGAGTCTAGATTTGAAGCTTTCGTGACTGCAAGGATTCATAAATAGTAATAAATAAATATTAAGATGCTATAAATAATCATTATCTTTTAAATTACAAACTAACAAATATTTTATTTTTATATTATTTTCTTTCTATTATTATTTCTAGTATTTTAATTATTTATTTTTCTTATTTATTTTTACCTACGTGACTTTACCGAAAAAACCTAAGAGTAAGTCAAAAGTGGTTTCCTGCTCACGTGCGCATCGAGGCGGATACTCATCCCCTGTGTCCAGCCCTGAGCCAGCGATGGACATTCCACATTACTATGACCGTGCATGCATCTCTCCCTCTCTCTCAAGAGAGACATGCACGAGAGAGAGAGAGAAGGGGGAAAAAAACCACCGCAGCCATCAACAAACACTGAACCGGCCGTGTTTCGAAAAAAACGCGCGTGCGTTGTTGGCGATTGTGCGAATAGCGAACATTACTCCTCATCTCCAAACTCACTTGGGTTGTCGCCCGTACAGGATCCGATTCACTTCTGCCAGCTCCTGGGCAGGAATGTACTTTTCCAGCGTCTCGTCCAAACTCTTGATCGCCGCGTCCGCCATTTACAACAAAAAAAACCACGGCCCCTTTTTTCAAAGTCGAGATTTCACAGAGCGCATAAGCGCTGTCCTAAATATAACCCCGATAGCCAAACGTGCCTTAGGGGGCGTCCATAAATGACGTCACGCGATTTTGGACGATTTTTGACCCCCCCCCCCTCGTCACACGGCGTCACAACAAGTCAGACCCCCCCCCCCTTAAATATGACGTCACAAAGCTCTGCCCCCCCCCCCTAAATAAAAATAAAACATGCTTCAAATCGCTTTAAACTATTGTCATTGTAGTGTGTATTTAATGTGGCGCTGCACTTTGATGTTGTAGGAGTAAACATTTATTAAAAAGTCTATTTAATTAAGTAGAACGTGTTGTCTATGTTTATTTAAAGTTGCGCATTTTGATGTGACGTCACATTTCTCTCCCCCCCCCCCTCTCTCGGCACACATCGTCACAAATGTCTGACCCCCTCTGGTTGCGTGACGTCATTTATGGACGGCCCCTTATGCGGACGATGGAATATATCATTCCAAGCGCGTATATAGTACGAAATCTGTACGCCGGGAAGCCTAGACCCGGGTCCAGGATGCTATTGTGAGATTGTTAAGTTGTTAAAGGGCTAAAACTTTGGTTATATAAAAAGAAAAGTCGCGTTTCTCTGTCTCTTGCTCTTCAATACAAATTCTGTTAAACGTTTAACCATGCCTGGTACACACACGCGCACGCACGACTTGGTTATACAGTAATGGTACATCACTACACCGTCGTGTATGTTATGTAAGAATGTGAAGTAAACCGTTTGGAGTTTGTGTTTAATGGCAAAGTCCAAATGTACTGGTTGACAAAGTGCAACACGAGGCATCTGGCATTGGGCTGGCTGGAGGGCACCATTTGAGCTGAGAAGTATTAAATAAGTCGAAACAAGCTACACGTTCACCATTAGCCGTCACTTCAAGATCGAAAACACGCTCGATCATTTGTTTTTATCGTCTCACTGATAGAGATTCATCTGTATACGTATATCCAGTGCTGGATTAAGCAAGTGCGGGGCCTGTAGCACATGTTATAAAGGGGCCCTAAATAAATTAAAAATATTAAAACACGTAAATGTTTTACTTGCATAGTAAAGTAATTGTATTTTTCATTTGCTATACAGCCAGATAATATGACAAATCGCTAACCTTAAACACCCAGTCGTTCATAAAAGTTGAAGGCAGTATAGTACTATAGTAATAGAGCAAGTGCAGAATCACTTAACCAGAATTTATAGCTTGAAAGCATTTAGCGCAGGGCCCTTGAAAGTGCGGGGCCCGTAGCATGTGTTACTTTTGCTACTGCAGTCGTACATAAAAATTGAAGGCAGTATAGTACTATAGTAATAGAGCAAGTGCTGAATCACTGAACCGGAATTGATCGCTTGAAAGCATTTAGCGCGGGGCCCTTGAAAGTGTGGGGCCCGTAGCTACATGTGTTACTTTTGCTACTAGGATAATCCGGCACTGCGTAAATCCCTCAATACACGGGACAGCGACTTTTCTGAAAAGTCCGCAAATTGAAATTCCGTATCGCGAATCCAATGTCCCCATTGACTTTCGTGATATAATTGGAGATGTATCCCTTCAAGACGTAATAAAACCACACTTGAGAATGCAGCAGACCATTTTAAATCACTATTTAATAGAAAATATGCCTTTACGATAACATTGGTGTCCTACGTATGGTGCGAAAGAAGTTGAGCATACTCAAAATAAGTCGCGAAATAAAACGGCACCAAGAATTGTGATCACCGCGTGAAGCGGTTTGTGCAGTGGATTTGTAAAGATTTGCAAACCTGCCTCAAAACACGAGTGGGATGGATGGCGCTTCCTCACCCTCCTCTCCTCCTGCCGCATCGCTATTGTTTCCAGCCACATCACCAGTTAGTTCCTTCTATATCGTAGGACCTTTTTTTGCCAGTATCACAGTATGAAAAATAAGAATAGGTTTTACCCTTTCTGGAAATAAAACAGGTGTCAAAATGTTCAAGCACCAAACAGATACATACTCTTATTTTTTTCGGTAAAGTCACGTAGGTAAAAAAGGAAATTAAAATTAATAAAAATAAAATAGTAATAAATCACGACGTTTCGGAGGCAACACAAGTCTCCGTCATCAGGTGGGACCGAGACTTGTGTTGCCTCCGAAACGTCGTGATTTTTTATTATTTTATTTTTTATTAATTTTAATTTCATTTTTTACCTACGTGACTTTACCGAAAAAACTAAGAGTATGAATCCTTGCAGTCACGAAAGCTTCAATCTAGAACCAAACAGGAATCAAGTTGACATTGGCCTGCCTTTTGGCGTTGCTTCTCTGTTTCTGACACTGGTGAGGACAAGGCCCTAAAGATGGCTGTCTCTGGTGTAGGACAATCCATTTGAAAGACAATGCAATATATGATCAGAGCATGTTTTTGTTTGCATGTTCACCACAAGTACGTGTGGTTAATGCAGACATGATTCCTTGCTAAATGTTTCTATTTGACATTTGAAATCTTATCACCTCCTGTTTTATTGCCAGAAAGGGTAAAACCTATTCTTCTTTTTTCATAGTTTCCCGTCATTCGAACAGGTGTTCTCCATGGAACTGCAGCACCTAATCCAGATCAGCTTTTACGACGCCTGCAAACCCCACGTCATTTTCGAGGGTCACAATGTTTTGTTGAATTTGTGGATTGGTTTCTGTTTGTGGGAAGACCACGACAATGGTGAACACACTCGGGCCAAATCGCCTTACACAGCACCGCTCATAGTCGATGATTTCAGTTCGTTCTGCCACTCGGTGATATTGTCCACGGTGTTGGTAGTGTCGTCGTTTCGCCAGAACTGCCTACTTGTAGGCTTATCCTTCCCATCAGAAGGCGAAAAGTATTCCTCAGCCAATGCGCCTTTGAAGGTGTCGATTACGCCTCTGTGATCCATAAGGCCGAATCAAGGCCGTTGTGTTTTCAGGGAGGTACCTCGACCCGCACATTATCAGACTGTTCAGACAGGTCGTCTAAATTGACTGGGTTGCCATGGGGCATTGTCTAGGATTGAGCGATGCCTTTGTTTAAATTTTTTTTATCACAGTACCTTTCAACAGTAGGAAAACAAAAAAACGTAGAGAACCAGTTTGTGAAAAAAAATCGGAGTCAAATCATCGGGACATTGGTCTTGGAGTGGCCCTTCATCAGCCCTGGGGACTTTTTAGAATGGTTGACCATTAAGGTCATTAAGTAGGCTTCAACTTAAAATCACCGTGCGGTAATTGCGTCCCCAGAAGAAGAGTTCAAGCGATCTTTGGCTCCTTTAAGCCCTGGCGCAGCCTTGTCTTCCCTCAGAAATAAATGTATTGCCAGGCATTCGCTGGCAGTAAAGTCACACGTCTGGTCAACATTAAACACTTGTTGAGGTGTGTAGCCCGCTTTCTTAGATTGTTTTCTCAGCGCTTCAGGATGCTTAACAAACCCCTGTCTGAATTTTGATTTAAAGTTTTCGTGACTGCAGGGATTCATATTCTTGGTTCTTTCGGTAAATAATAAAATAATATAAATATAAAAAAAAAATTCTCACGACGTTTCGACTGCAACACTAGCAATCATCATCAGGTGTGAAATCCACAGCAAGAAAATGTTCTTATTGTTTTATATTTTTATCATTTTATTATTTCCCTTCTACGTGACTTTACCGAAAGAACCAAGAATATAAACCCCTGTCTGTATCAGCACCGGCAGCTTCATCACTCATTATCTCAACGTTATGCCAACAATGACACCTTTTAAATCTCAGAAACGACCCGTTACTAGCACAGAAAGTTTGCACTTGTGAGTTTTTGCCATGTTCACGCTTTAAATCAACATTTTGGCTTTCTCGCCTGGCAATATTGTTGTTTATCGGTACTTGACGCTGGCTCTGATCTTCGATCCAAATACTTAACATAATTTACACGTTTTCCATCACTTCTACGGCGACACAACGTAATCGAACTTAAGGGTGAAGCTGCTGAAAACCTTTTATTGTTTCTTTATTATCACGTATTGTTTACTGTCACGTATTGTTCCCACTGTAGAGACAGGAAAGCCTAATGCTTTCACGATTTGTCTAGGTTTTTTCATCCGCTTCAAACCGCCTTAACACTTACAATTTTATATTCAAGGTAATTGCTTTACGATCTCTTTTTCCACTTATGCTATCACTTTGCACGTGATGACCTCTTTGCAGACGTCTTAACTTATTGTGATGGAAGAAACGTTGAAAAGGGGTGACATTCTGCAGGGTGGTGCAGATGGTGCAGATGTCTCGTGACACATTTCATTCTCTAAAACATAAATATTTTTTGATTTAAAGCTTTCGTGACTGCAGAGATTCATATGCTTGGTTCTTTCGGTAAAGTCACTTAGAAGATAAGTAATAAAATAATTTAATAAAGATATTAAACAATAACAAAATTCTCACGACGTTTCGACTGCAACACAAGCAATCATCATCAGGTGTGAAATCCACAGCAAGAAATGTTCACACCTGATGATGATTTCACACCTGATGATGATTGCTTGTGTTGCAGTCCAAACGTCGTGAGAATTTGTTTTATTGGTTAATATTTTTATATTATTTTATTATTTCTCTTCTACGTGACTTTACCGAAGAACCAAGAATATAAATATTTTTTTGAGGCAGAAAAAAAAAGTATCCTAACCAAGGAAATGTACAATTTCAATATAACTTGGAGTAAGCATGTGGTGGTCTGCGAAATATTTGGACATTCGAAAATTTTGGGAACCGCTGCTATAACCAATTCCCGTATTATTGCTCAGAGAAGTTGAGTTTCCAGGTCAATACTGCGTACAGCCGTTTCAATACGGTCTATTTGTGTTTCTCCCTTGTGATGGGACTTTGTAGGATGAACGTTGAGATGTATAAGGGGCACGGGGTGACCAATAAGGTCTGAATTGGTCTGTGATAAGGGGTTGACATGTATGCCTATTTTTGATTTAAAGCTTTCGGGACTGCAGGGATTCATATTCTTGGTTCTTTCGGTAAAGTCACGTAGAAGGGAAACAATATAATAATAAAAATATAAAAATATAAATATTGTTTGATATTTTTATTATTTCTCAATAAAATTATTAAAATATTAAAATATTAATATTGTTTTATATTTGTATTCTTTTATTGTTTCCCAATAAAATAATAAAATATATAAATATTGTTTTATCATTTTATTATTTTATTGCTTCCCTTCTACGTGACTTTACCGAAATAACCAAGAATATGTATGCCTATATCATGCAAACACTGTCAGTTTGTATGCTTGTACTAAGCAACAATTTTGTGCTGCGTACGTGAATTCCTGTGGCGTGTAAAAAAAGTAACGCGTACGTGTGAATTAATAGCTATAGAAAGCACTAAACTAAAAAGCCAGTGAGTATTAGGAAATCTCTTGGAATTCATACTCTTAGGTTTTTCGGTAAAGTCACGTAGGTAAAATAAAAATAAAAAATCGTCGTTAATTATTATTTTATTTCCATTAATATTTCTATTATTTTTTCTTTTTTACCTACGTGACTTTACCGAATAAACCTAAGAGTATGAATCCTTACAGTCACGAAAGCTTCAAATCTAGAATCTCTTAGAAGCTGCTTGTGGGGGGAGGGGTGGGGGGAGAAGGGGGGGGAGAGAAGGGGGGGGGAGAAGGGGGGGGAGAAGTGGGGGGGGAGAGGAGGGGGGGAGAAGAAGGGGGGAGAAGGAGGGGGGAGAAGAAGGGGGGGGAGAAAGGGGGGGGGAGAAGGAGGGGGGGAGAAGGAGGGGGGAGAAGGAGGGGGGGGAGCAGGAGGGGGAGAAGAAGAGGGGGGGGAGAAGGAGGGGGGAGAAGGAGGGGGGAGAAGAAGGGGGGGAGAAGGAGGGGGGGAGAAGGAGGGGGAGAGAAGGAGGGGGGTGGAGAAGGAGGGGGGAGAAGAAGAGGGGGGGGGAGAAGGAGGGGGGGAGGAGAAGGAGGGGGGGAGAAGAAGGGGGGGAGAAGGAGGGGGGGAGAAGGAGGGGGGGAGAAGAAGGGGGGGAGAAGGAGGGGGGGAGAAGGAGGGGGGGGAGAAGGAGGGGGGAGAAGAAGGGGGGGGAGAGGAGGGGGGAGAAGGAGGGGGGAGAAGAGGGGGGGGAGAAGGAGGGGGAGAAGGAGGGGGGAGAAGAAGGGGGGGGAGAAGGAGGGGGGAGAAGAAGGGGGGGAGAAGGAGGGGGAGAAGAAGTGGGGTAGAAGAAGGGGGGGAGAAGGCGGGGAGAAGGAGGGGGGGGAGAAGGGGGGGGGAAAGAGGGGGGGAGAAGGAGGGGGGGAGAAGGAGGGGGGAGAAGCAGGTGGGGAGAAGGAGGGGGGAGAGAAGGAGGGGGGAGGAAGGAGGGGGGAGAAGGAGGGGGGAGAAGGAGGGGGGAGAGAGAAGGAGGGGGGAGAAGGAGGTGGGGAGAAGAAGGGGGGGGAGAAGGAGGGGGGAGAAGAAGGGGGGGGGGGAGAAGGAGGGGGGAGAAGAAGGGGGGGAGAAGGAGGGGGGAGAAGAGAGGGGGGGAGAAGAAGGGGGGAGAAGAAGGGGGGGAGAAGGAGGGGGCGAGAAGGAGGGGGGAGAAGGAGGGGGGAGGAAGGAGGGGGGGGAGAAGGAGGGGGGAGAAGGAGGGGGGAGAAGAAGGGGGGGAGAAGGAGGGGGGGAGAAGGAGGGGGGAGAAGAAGGGGGGGAGAAGGAGGGGGGGAGAAGAAGGAGAAGGGGGGAGAAGGAGGGGGGGAGAAGGAGGGGGGAGAAGAAGGGGGGAGAAGGGGGGGGAGAAGGAGGGGGAGAAGGAGGGGGGGGAGAGAAGAAGGGGGGGGGGAGAAGGGGGGGGAGGAGAAGGAGGGGGGAGAAGGAGGGGGGAGAAGGAGGGGGGAGAAGGAGGGGGAGAAGGAGGGGGGAGAAGGAGGGGGGAGAAGGAGGGGGGGAGAAGGAGGGGGGAGAAGAAGGGGGGGAGAAGGAGGGGGGAGAAGGAGGGGGGAGAAGAAGGGGGGGGAGAAGGAGGGGGGAGAAGAGGGGGGAAGAAGGGGGGGAGAGAGGGGGAGAAGGAGGGGGGAGAAGAAGGGGGAGAAGAAGGGGGGGAGAAGGAGGGGGGGAGAAGGAGGGGGGGAGAAGAAGGGGGGGAGAAGAAGGGGGGGAGAAGAAGGGGGGGGAGAAGGAGGGGGGGAGAAGGAGGGGGGAGAAGAAGGGGGGGAGAAGGAGGGGGGGAGAAGGAGGGGGGAGAAGAAGGGGGGGAGAAGGAGGGGGGAGAAGGAGGGGGGGGGAGAAAGAGGGGGGAGAAGGAGGGGGGGGAAGGGGGGGGGAGAAGGAAGGGGGAGAAGAAGGGGGGAGAAGGAGGGGGGAGAAGGGGGGGGGGAAGGAGGGGGGAAAAGGGGGGGGAGAAGGAGGGGGGAGAAGGGGGGGGGGAAGGAGGGGGGAGAAGGGGGGGGAGAAGGAGGGGGGAGAAGGGGGGGGAGAAGGAGGGGGGGGGTAGAAGAAGGGGGGGGGGCGTACCCACACCGCCCCACCGTTGCCGCGTTGCTATTGGACAACGGCGACCAATGACAGCACGGAGCTTGGTGGGCGTTGTCTTGATGACGTCCCTACGCGAGACCCCATTGGTTAATAATTTGGCGCCAATTTTTTTTTTTTATAGCTGTTGTCGCCGCTACCGATGTCGTGAAAATCGAATGGATCGCTGCACGCTTTAACGTTTGGCGAATGTAACGCGCTCACTATTCATACGTCTCAGAGGTAATACGTTACGTGTGAATCGGTGATATAATCCATTAATTAACGTTAATGCTATATTCTGTGGGTTTTTAAAAAAATCTTTAAGAAGGCCAGCCGGCCGAAACGTCGCCTAACCCCTTAGTTGACGGTTAAAGATTCTAATTTAAAGCTTCCGTGACTGCAGGGATTCATATTCTTGGTTCTTTCGGTAAAGTCACGTAGGTAGGAAAATAATAGATCACGACATCAGGTGGGACAACCACAGCAAGAAGTAAGATGAAGTAGGCTTACTTTAGCAGTTTTTTCTTGCTATGTAACTGGTATATCTACTGGTATATCTACCTACGTAACTGGTATATCTACTGGTATATCTACCTACGTAACTGGTATATCTACTTGTATATCTACCTACGTAACTGGTATATCTACTGGTATATCTACCTACGTAACTGGTATATCTACTTGTATATCTACCTACGTAACTGGTATATCTACTTGTATATCTACCTACGTAACTGGTATATCTACTTGTATATCTACCTACGTAACTGGTATATCTACTTGTATATCTACCTACGTAACTGGTATATCCATTTATACTGTTGGGTGGACAGAGGTGGGCATTTAAAAACATTACGCAACTTAAATTAGCGCGCCGAGGTCGAATTTAACTGGCGAGTTCTGGACTGAAAGCCCCTTCTTTATTTCATTTATAAGTCACTGGACTTATAATCTTAACACATCTACGGCAACATCCTCATTATTGCAAGTCCTGTACTGAAATATGTGGGCACAGCGAACACAGCCACTCCTGGCATCTTCACCAATCCCCCCAATGACCTGCGTGGCGAGGTCTGGTCTGATAATTGGACGTCTATATTCTTGGTTATTTCGGTAAAGTCACGTAGAAGGGAAATAATACATTGTATTGCTGTGGTTTTCACACCTGATGATGATTGCTTGTGTTGCAATTGAAACGTCGTGAGAAGTTTTTAAATTTCCCTTCTACGTGACTTTATTGAAAGAACCAAGAATATGAATATAAAATGTACCCAAAAAAGTGTTGATTCTACTTTGGCATTGGAGCACAAATCACATATTACACAAACTCAATCTATTAGTCTATAACACTACCATAAAAGGAAAAGTGGATGACAACATTTTGGGCAAAGCAGATCTTGACTTAAAATTTCCCCAAACGCTGCCTATATAATGTAATTTTGTATTACTGTATTTTTTAAAACGTAATCTCAGTGTGCTCTCTCAATCTGTGCACTGCTGCACTACATTTGTACCACTATAGACATCAGCCTACGTGGTATCTCTGACGGATTTATAGGGTTTCAACGCCAAAGCAAAACACGTATTGAATCACTGCATTTGAATCTCCACAGTGAGCCGCTGTGGGCCATCGAGGCAAGGAACGCTGCCATCTCCAACATTTGAAATAACAATTTTATTCAAATTTTCTTGCTGTGGATTTCACACCTGATGATGATTGCTTGTGTTGCAGTCGAAACGTCGTGAGAATTTTTATTGTTTAATATTTTTATTGTTTTATTATTTCCCTTCTACGTGACTTTTCCGAAAGAAGCAAGAATATTAATACCTGCAGTCACGAAAGCTTTATCAAAATTGGACGTCTGTGAAAAGAGCTTTACAGCTCATGGGATTTCTCCACGGCTTGGTGCGGCCTTGATTCGGCGCATTGCATACATTTTTTTTATATCGGTCCCATTGATTTTCGAAACAACTTTACAGTGCACAAACAGTTGAGTTGGCAAAGTAGCCATATTTAATGTATGAGTTTAACGACGTGGGTCCGTTTAATATTTAAGCACATGTCCTTGCTTCTTGACAGCTTGACACGCTTGCCCCCTGAGCCAGCATTGTGCCGAGTCAAAAGTCTGCCGTGTGAAGTGGACATTGAAGACCCCGTGACCTTACCGAACGTAAGCCAGTGTGTGTGTTGGTGTCACGGCTCAGTTCCCAAGTTTTTTTTAATATATATGCATAATTGCAAAATATGTTTAGTAATGAAAATGGCAGAAATTCAGTGTCACACGTCTGTGAATTGTTTTTTTGCACATGTATTTATTTAAGCACTATTCATCCTGTTTTCAGTAAGTTTAGGCATGTTTCGTGTAAATAATTAATGTTTTTGCTTTTGTTTGCACATTCCCACCCTGCTATGTCCTGTGCTGCCACTGCCAATGATCTTGGGCCGTGGTCATTCTTGTCAGAGAGATGTTTAACTTAATGGTGCTTACAACTTGAAATAATAAGTCTGAGCTGAACACTTTATTTTTTCACATAATTGAAATTGGACAAATAATAGCTGTAACAAAATTAACTATAGCATTCTGAAAGAAAGGGCATGTGACTGCATTGTGTAAATAGTTTGACAATTGAATGTACATTATACCACATCATAACACTGAGCCAATATTACAGTATTGAAGACCTGGGTTCGAGGTCCAGGTTTTATGCACCTCTAATGAAACAGCATTTTAAAAATAACAACTTAATGGTCTACGCCGAGTCACAAATGGCAACATATATAAAGCTATTAAATGCAGAACGAAATTTGGTACTGCACCTTGTTTTACTTATTGCAGCCCTGTGAAAAAAACGTTGTTTTAACTGACATGTGATGAACATTTTGCTGGGTACATGAAATGCATGTCCACTGGTGTGGATTAAAAAAAAAAACCTCATGTGGTTACTTCAGAGTTATGATTCATCATCCAGGGGAATTATCCGATACAAAGTGCATTCACTGGGAGACTTAAGCAATATTTATTTTTCACATGACAATGCTGACAGCATAATTGGAATATAATTATTGGTGGACAAAGAGTACCCCCTTCCCAAAAGATACTTGTTGTGATCAGCCTATGGCAGGATTCCTTAAATATATTTTCCGGTGAGTCAATTAAATTGACATTTAATGGTGGGCCACATACGTAATTACGCCAGACGGCGTGATTTCATGATGTTTGTACAGTACAGGAATAGCTCTTCGATGTGTTTTTGGGGTTGTACCGCATGTTATTTGGCATGAGCATTCAGTTTCTGAAGAAGCTCCCAGCACATGGAGCGAAATGTCGGACATCATGCAGAACAACACCCGGTATAACCCTATAATGTGGGCACGCTATGCAACACAATAGCAAACACCTAAGCAGTATTCTATGCAGGTGATGACTAATCTGTACCGCGCGCCTCCAGGTCTCATCTCTCGCGTTTATCTCACTGTCATCTCACTAACCTTCATCTCTTATCTGCAGCTCTTTAATTTCAATCACTTGTTTAACTACCTTTCAACTTAATAATACTCATCTCTTGTCTACACTCTGTCATCTATGTCTCATGTTTAGCTCTGTTTAATATCGTTAACCTGTATATTACGTATATCTCTTGGCAGGCCACTCCAAGATTCTTTGCGAGCCAGATGTAGCCTGTAGGCCGCCAGTTGAATATTTGTAGCTTATGAGTTAGACAGGCTATAATGTCTGTAGGATAACATGATCACGAAGCAAGCTGCATTTGAGCGTGCAACCTCCTGTGTGACGCAAGAGGTCTTTGTGTGGGTGGTAGGCGGAGTCACGCTGATTTGTATTTGTTTATGAAATTGTATGCGGGCGAATAATAAACACATCTCTCCATTTCTTGGTACAGATTTTTTTTTCCTTAGGATGCAGTGCGTGCTTGGCTCCCAGCCATTGCGAGAGGTTATGGTCACATTCATCATAAGCGTCCACATTGTTGCACCAGATCAGCAAACCAAATGTCGTATTGGAGGTCCGCCCATCGCACCATATAAAAGCCAATTGCATCGGAGATCCTATTGCAACTTTTAAATTCGAGTGTTGGCAGTTTGGCTGAGCGGTGGGAAAACATCGGTAGCTGTATACGCTTGCAGGTGTGATGTATTTATAAACTAAGCCGTGTTCTGTAGGATACATGAGTTGAATTCTGAAGCCAAAATTTTCTGCAGATACCGCAAGAAAATAACAGGAATATTAGATAACATTTCATTTTAAAGCCTCTATATTTCTTCCACCAATCTTTCGACATGTATTAAATCTCTGTTTCTCTGCAAGATATACATCCATTGCTTTCATTAAAACCTGTTGAGACGAAAGAGGGTTTTTAGAAATCAGTCGGGTATCTATAAATGGATTGCCTTGTCTAATCTTTACGTATATATTATTTTTTTTAAACCCTGTGTGCCACAACGATTGCCAGCTATTGCAGGGGTCAGAGTACTAAACCAGGTCTGCTGAAATCCTGGGTTTCAAATTTTGATTTGAAATCGGGTTCTCAAGTGTAACAAGTTCATGGTTTTAGTCTGGCCACCAATTGCAAGCACGTGAAAAATCCCATCAAGTTCAATTTAGTTTTAAAGTCATGTTGGCAAAATCCCAACTCTAGCAGGAAATTCCAGTACCATTGTGTGATCACTTAAAGTGATCTCAAGAAGCAGTTCTGTGATATCAACTTCTGTGGGTCATTCTCTCACAGTAGGTGGTGCACATTTCTTTTGAGAGTTTATAATGGACATTTCGTTGTCTTCTATCATGATTCAGATTAAATTATAATACAATATAAATAAAGATAAATACAAATCTACTCCATAATTCCCAATATAGTTTGGAGTGTGTGTTTGCACAAAATTGAAAATATGTTTATCTAGTAATGGGAATATGTCACAGTTAAATGTTAAATGGTGAGAATTGCAGAAATCTCATATATATTTAGACTTGTAAGTTATAAATGAATATGCCTGTTTATTGTGTAACCACAAGCATGCAGGCAGCATGCAGGCAGCATACTGGCAGCAAGCCACCAATCAAGAATAGCAGGCTGTTGCTAATTGAAGAGGTGGGGCAATACACGCTTCACAAATTGGCATTACGAAGATCCTGGATGACATTATTTATCATTTTTAGCATGTTGTACACAAAGCGCGTAATATTCCTGGATGTGTACCAATGGGAACTTTCACAAAATGTGATTCACACAGCTTGTGAACCAGTTGTGTGTTTTTTGTTAGCACATTTCGATTCATTGCTAAAAATGGCACTTTTTAAACAAACAAAGAACTAAGCAACAAATCCTGGCATTCAAAAGAATCTGCGCCGAGATTGAAGCAGCAGTGGCGGCGTCTTTGAGGTCTGTTGCATATTCATCGTGCCGAGTGAGTCACAAAGTGGGCTTATGTCTGCATGTGATTTTCTTGTCCGCCTTCCTTTGGATCCCCATGTGTGCATGCGTCCATGCGTGCTTTGGGATTGTGACCCTGCAGCCACACTAACCCAGCTCGGACCTTTACCAAGTGTGACACGATGACCTTTTTCAGATGAGAAGGAAAATATTGCGCTGAAATGTTCTTCATTTTGAGCTGCTCAGGTCAAAATTCTATTTGAAAAAAGGCAAACTGCTGTGATTCCTCGTGACTGAAATGTGCATAATTATAGCAAATGTTTATTCATGACAGTGACATTAGGGATTTTTTTTTTGTCTTGAACGTTACTCCCTTTGTATATTGAAATGTTTTCTGCTGTAAAAACGAATGCAGGGATTAATTTTAGGCAGGTAAATGACACCAGATTCAGTATACCACTTGTTATGGCTGTAGCTAAGTCTAGTGCCTATCTACTTTAGTGTACCAGCGACCTGGAAAATACTCTGCGAGAAATTAAGCCCTTGATGAATGTATTTCAGAATTTAAATTAAAGTATTTTTTGTATAATATTGAATTCTACTTATGCAAATTTCCATTTGAAAATATTTATTTTCGTTTCACTTGCACATTATTCTCAACCACTAGTTGAGGCAATGGCAGGCTTTACTCGACAGAGTACTGTATTTTAATAATTAAGTAGAAATAAAGTAACTGTTTCAGTCCAGTATAGCTGCATTCATTAAACTCACTTTTAGTTATAGTAATAGGTTTTTACCCTTTCAACTGATACAAAACTGACATCTTTATACAAGGGATCATGTTTGCAATAACCACAACACAAGCAGTCAAAATGCAAACAAAAAGAAACAACTCTGATAATGAAAATGATATGCACTGTCCTTGAAGTTTATTGGTCCACACCCGAGACAGCTTTTCTTGGAGCCCAGTCTCCATTGGTGTTGGACCAGATGACGCCTTTTGACGGGCTTAGAGCATATATGCTCTAAGCCCGTGTGCTGTTTCATTCAGACTCTGTCGCCTCGACGGACCTGGTTTTCACCTGAGGACGGCTGCTTGCGTTGTGGCCGAAACGTCGTGAGAATTGTTTAATTATGTTTTATTTTTATTATTTTATTACTTCCCTTCTACGTGACTTTACCGAAAGAACCAAGAAGATGAATCCCTGCAGTCACGAAAGCTTTAAATCGAAGTTTTGTACCAGTTGAAAGGGTAAAAACCTATTACTATATTTTGCCAGTGGTAAAGGAGACCTCATAGTGTCACTTTTAGTTGTGCTTCATCATTTCAAATTGAGTGACCCATAGCCATGAATGCCATAGTACCATCGAAAGCTCTTGTAATTTGACTACATATCTTTCCAGGTAGCTGACATACACTTTAAAATAAGTATAACCAGTAAAAACAAAGTTTTTCACTATAAATCCTTTATATGCGTGGCGGCTTGAGTCCTCTCGTCCTCTGGCTTGAGATGGCTGCCACCTATGGGTCAGATGATTGCATTGCACCATTAAGCAATTGGTAATTAAATATAATATTTTTGTCCTAAAAAGTGTAAAATTTTGGAAACAAATTTTCACGAACATTAATTGTCACGCACAACGAGTCTGTGTGGAAAATGTCCACTCGATTGGATCACGGGAAGTGGGTTAAAAAACGACCGAAAGGTTTGCACGGTCGTAAGCAAGCAAGCAAGCAAGTGAACTTAATATAAAGGATTTAAAAAGATACACCTCCACTTTT